CTTTAAACAGAGAAACAGAAGAAGAGGCAAGTTACCTAGGCTCTTACACCAGGACTTACCACAGCCCAGAGTGGAACCACGCTTACTTCAACTATACCCTGGGGTGGATCCAAACCACACAGCAAACAGGGAGGAGACTTCCCTTCCTCAGACTGCTCAAACTTGCTGAAAACTACGTAAGTGACTCAGGAAATGTCCTTCTCCTGAGTCAGCACTGAAGCAATGCTCCAGAATTGCATCTGATTTACAGCGCAGGTTAAAGACTGCAGGATTGTTGGTTTTCTTAAAGGATGATCTGTGAACGATACCCCAAGAGTGTCTGGTCGCTAAAAATACGTAACCCTTGCACAAACCGAGGTTGCACTCATACCCTGTGTTCCAGCCCATCTCTCCCTGGGTGTGCATGCACATCTGTTGGAGCACTGCTTTACCACATCACACAGAGGGGGGAAAGGTCGTATGGCTGTGAACCCCATTTGTACAAAGTAAACAAGTAAATAGATTCCAATTTTAAAATAAGTTTTAATTGATTTCATTAACTAGTAACTTGTCTTCTGTTGCAATAAAGCAGAGTGCAGCAGGTTATTTGGAAGTTGTGGAGTGCTGAAATTTGGAGTTAGGCTGAATGAAAGACTATGTACAATACAAACCAGCTTTCTGTTGTGTTGTAAATTTATTCTCGTAATTTTTACCATTTATTCATCCCAAAAGACATATTGCATATTTGGAACATTTTTAAATAAGAGCCACTATATTATTCAAGATAAGTAGTAGTTTTGTCACATCAAAACTGATGACATGCCCAATAAAGTATTTTCCAGAGCAAGAATTCCTTACAAGAAATCTAAATAGAATATAAACTTCATAAATGATCTATCATGAAAAGATTAAAATAGTAAATCCATTCCATACTGAAGGCAGTCCTTTAGCACTTATAGTATGTGTGTGGTGCTTCTAAAAAAAAAAAAAAGAAAAAATCAATTTCCTAACAGAATGTACTGAAACAAATATGGGCTAGCTTTTGGATAAATTTTATTCCAATAGAACAGAATGAATTGATCACTTAACCTTTTTCTCTCAAGTTACTGATTAATATGATCAGGTAAGAAAAAGTTACTTTTAGTTTAACCCAAGCTTTGGATGTATCTTCATCAGATACAACGAAGAGAAGACATGCTTGGAAGCACATCCACATTTTCAATGTATCACCTAACATAATAAAAGAATTACATCTCCATACGAACATCTCCATTCCCACAGTCGAGAATAATTTAAATGTAAATCTCAATTACATCTCCATTCTCATGGCTGCTAAACGCAAGTAATCATGATCTATTTTACCGCATGCAAGCGCAGTCTCAGAACAGCAATGTATACACATGCACACACACCCTCAGTGCATTAGAACTGTTACATTTCCAGCACTGGGAATAATGCTGAGCCAAATTAAGTAGACTGAAAAATCTAAAGTCACATGAATAATTTAGAATTAGAAATGCCTTATAGAGGGAAACAGCACTAACAGGCAACAACATGATGGAGCTGAGGGAAGAGAATAAAATGTATGATCTTGGGAAAAGGAGTGGTTTTGCTTCACCTTAAGATCTAAGCAAATCACAGAGTAATCTACTGGAAGCAATCAGTACTAAATTCAAGAATGTAGAATAATCCATGCCTGTCAAGGCATTTCTAAAATAAAATTCCACTTTTATGAGTTTTAAAAAACTTAGGTTTATTGGTGTTATTAAACCAAGACTTCTGTAAATCATTTGCCATTCCAATAAAAGTGATCAATGCACTGCTATCACTGTAACTAATAATCCAGATTAAAAACCAGATGACAGATTGCAAAAAACTAAGTGAAGGAAGTATTCTATGAATGTTTTCCCTAGTGTCCTACAGGGATCTGGTTTTGGCTTACTACCATTCAACAGTGTATAATCAATAATCTAGAAATGCTTCAGTAGTCAGCCCTGCTAAAACCTGAAGGTGGAAAAAAACCCCATCAATGACGTGCTGAACAGTAATGGGAACGGGTTGTTGCCCTGGGATGCTTGCCTACAGCGTTTTTTACCAAACAACATTGCCAAGTCGGATACCACTGAGGTGGGGTGATGCAAGGAATGCACAGTTTTGATTCACAAGATTAAAATCCAGATGCTAGAAGTCACCGAATCCCAAAAAAGGTTCTGGTAGGCAGCCAAATACTAATACCAGAGCAGGATATAAAGCTTATTGTCTATTTATATGATGTTAGTAAGGTAATTACTGTAAGGACATGTTCTGTTCTGGCATTTATTCTTCGAAAAAAAAAATCAGAAAACAAGAAATAGTTTAAAAAGCTGACAACAAAAACTAGAGGGATAAAGAAAAAATTAAGAAATTAAATCCATTAATATAAAGTAAGATTAGAAGGTATTTTGATCATGGTATGTCAAAATCCTTGGATCAGGACAACATTTGCAGTAGTAGAACATCCTTCAAAGAGAGATATATTTAAATCCAATAGTTGGGAGCCAAAGCAAGATGAACTCAAACAGGGGGTTGTGTTCTGGTTGGGTTTTGTTTGTTTTTTTCTGAGAGGACAGTAGTTGCCCAAGTAACTTACCTACAGAGATGACTGATTCTTTTGCTGAAGTTCTTAAAGCAAGAATTTTTTTTTCCTAAAATATATGCTTAGCTTCTTGACATTATGCTTCTGGTGTTGAAATCAGTGAGTAAAGTTTTATGCCTGTGATATCCAGAAAAGCGGTCAGATACGAGTTCCCTCTACCTCTACCATTGAACGGAAATTTGAACCTCTAATGGCCCTTACCACTGAAACCTTTATTTCAACTGCTCATTCGCCTTCTACTTACAAGAGCCTTTAGTCAAATACTGGTAGCACCCACCATTTTTAAAGCTGTAGTGGGTGCAACCCTCTCTCCAAGCAAAAGAACCTGGCTCTGTAGGCAAACCTTTGCTCACTAATTTGAAAGAGTTGGCACAAACTAAAAACCCAGGAAGGCAGGAAGAACTGAGACCCCCATACTGCAGCCCAATTCCCCACCAGAGAGGAAAGAAAGAAATTCTGTGTCCAGAAGCACACACAAAGAAGGACTGGGATGAGCAAATCAGCTGGATCTGGGGAATTCAGTGCAGCTGTCCGCTGGAAGCAATCACCCTTTAAACAGATCCAGAGGTATACATGCACAAGAGAGGGAGAGAATATGGCTTCTAATTCTTTTGTATGATCAATTGCTATATTAGCGGAGACTCAAAATCTTGAGAAAGTCGCTAATGAAATACTAATGGTGAATGAAAAGCCAGAGGGAAAAAAAGGCCTCCGGTGGAAACCAGCCAGCCCTAGTTGCAGAGCTAGTGCAAACTACAGTGGCTTCCCAAAAGCCATTGTGGTGACCTGGTGTTTTAAAGCACTCAGATGCTGCTGGTGGAATGAATCTCGGCAGTGGATTTGTCATGGAGAAGATTCAAGCTGAAGACATGATTCTTGCAAGTGGCAGAACCCTACAGATTAAGGCAGCAGACATTCAAAACCTTATGTAAAGCACACTGAAAATTTGAACCAGTACTTCAGAAGACTTAATTAGAGAAAGAAAAATAACTTAGAAATATACTCCCAAAATACATGCACAGATTACCTTTGCTTCAGCCATCAGTCATTTGATACTAAGTCTCACTAAGACTGTTTTATGAGAAAACTTTGCAATATATTGTGCAGGCTCACAATTCTCCATTTAGCACCAAAAAAATCCAGAGATTCTGCAAGAAGAATCAGGCTACGACTCTGGAATAATGCATTTAATTCAGCTACAAGGAACGGGAAAATTACACTACATTTTTTATATATTGTATATTTATATTTTTAAATAAAAGGCCTGCTGGTGTAGTCCCCATGTAGGTGGACTTCTTTTAGGACACCAGGACAAAACTGAAGTAGCGTTCAGATATTTTACTATACTGAATCTTCCAAATTGAACTAGCAACTGATAAAACAACACTCAAGACTAATTTTTCTAGTATGAGGAACCTTTTTAAAAACTCAAAGTTCAGTGCAAGCTCAGAGCACTTATTTTACAAATAGAGCATCTTACGCATCTGTGAAAAGCTACTCTTGTTACAGTAACTAACTCCAAGGCTTAGCTAATCAAGCCTCACAATTAAAAAGAAAGAACCTAAATATGAAGGTAAAAGAGCACACACATTTATCATAAACAAACGCAACAAAAAAATAGAAAGGTTTGTGCATAGAGTGCTTGCAAATAACTCCACTTGCTGCTTTAGTATCAAAGCACTGAAGAACAGCAGCTTCCCAGTTATCCAATCCTTCTCCAGGGATTCTCACAACAAAAGAGTGAACTGTGCATTTTAGCTCATTCCTGACCATTTTGAACATGCAAATGTCAAGAACTCCTGGGAAAGGCACGGTATTAGGGAACCACAGCTATACTTGTAAGCACAAACCCCCATGCAATGTGTACTATGCACCTGTGTATTTAATATAAATATGCACACATGCACATAGTTAAATGAGAAATCTTTCTCCTTTAATACAACCATGTTGGTTCTCAAATTTCAGCTCTCTGATGCTCTAAAGATTTCTGAAAACACAACATTTGTCTTTAACACAAGAAAAAACTCATGTCACAGGCAGCGTTGCTCAGTATGGGGCACCAACCGGCAGCACAGGCCGGCCCTGAGGTTGGTCCCAGGGAAGCCAGCACCATCCCTGCTGCCAGCCAGGAGGGACCACTGCTCCACCAGGCTCCACTCCACCTCCTCACACCATGTCTACATGCTACCAGCAGGGAGGAGGGAACGGGATCCACTGGAAAAGAACCAGTAGCTGAAAGAGGGACAAACCGGGCGTTCAAGATGCTAAAAAAGAGAGGAGGCAGCATCAGGCTCCCTTCCTCTAGAAGGGCTTTCCACTATCGCCCCACTACCTGCAGCCACTGCTCCTCCAATCTCACAACCCCTGCCACAGGCATGATCCACCCTTCAGCTGTGAACATTTTTTTTCCACCCCATGGCAATATGCTCCCAAGCCTTCCGTGGCTCTCTCCTCCCCCGCCTTCTTTCTGAAAACCACAGACAGGAGAGAGATCAGCTAGACAAAAACTTAAACCAGTGCAAATGTGAAATACAAAGTAAAAAAAAGTCTTTTGCTATTACTGGACATGCTGCAGACATTGTGCCTAGTAACTGTGGCAATATCTAGTGCAAAAGAAACTTAGCATGAATCTTATGTTTTCAAATGACATTCAACTCAAACATGCATAGGGAGAGTAAAGTTATTTTATTAAATCATGCACATCACGTGTGTTAGTGCAAATAGTTTAATCTGTACTCCAGAAATTCTATTGTATTTTTATATCTTTACAAAATAGATTTAAAACAATTATTTACTTTAAAAAATGTAATTCTGAAGTTAAGCATTTCAGAACAATATTTGCAATAACCTATATACAAGAGGTACTAAGTACCACTGGCATACGAGTGTTCTGTGGTTGGGTGGCTTCCTGCAACTGAAAAGGATGAAATGAATGAACTAAATGACAATATTTATTTTCTACAAGTCACTTGTGGACTATTTTTTCCAACTAATAATCCTCCCATTAGCAAATCCCATGTAACTTAAGATAGAACCTTTAATTAAAGGACAATGACCCTCAAAACCTCACAAAGTAAATTATATGCTAAATTTCTATTTAAATATTTAAACTATCTGTCGATTGCCATAACATTCTTTAAAGCCAATTGAATTGCTGAGATTACCTCCCTATTTTGAAGTTTCCTTTAGCAGAGCCATTTTACTTTACCATTCTTTAGCATATTATTTAAGTCTTTAATAAACTTTGACAGAACTGTTGAGCTGAACAAGACAACTACAGTCTACATTTAATTCAGTACTAACTACAGTGATTCCCACCAAAAGTCAGCAAATAGCAATAGTTATAGTACTTAGATAAGGAAAATAAACTTTGTAATGGGGACCACTGCATCATACTTACAGCCATGTGATGAGGATGCACAAAATTTTACTACCAAATTAAAATCACCTTCACCCGACAATACTTCATCAGGTACATGATTCTAATTTTGTAGTATTTTATGTATCTTAGATTTTTTTTTTTTCAGCTAATCACAGATGTATTGTAGCAGTTCTCTTAATAAAGTTACATCAACAAAAGCTTATCTAAAGAGCTTCTCCAGCTCAAGTCAGAAAGTATCAAATGACTGAAAAAATAAATTGATACATGTGATATGTGAGAAAGTATTCATACTTTTAAAGAACATATCTCTTTAAATATATGAAATTTAATAAATTACATTCAAACTAAAGGTAACGTAAGTTGAATCACCGCACTATGTCCATCAAATGACCAAGTACTTGCTCCCAGAAATACCTTAGTTCACTCAAGAACACACACATGCTTACACTCGCACACGCGCACACTAAATACTTTAGGCTGGTCTTCACCATCAGTATCTCTATCTCTTTAAGGCTGGACATGAATTGTGTTTATTCCCAAAAATCATTAATAAAGCAATCCTTATCAAAGAAAAATATGCTTCCTTCAAAAGGCATGGTAAGACAAGTTTTCTTAAGTCTTGTTCCCAACAGCTCAGTGACTAACAGCAAGTAAAATGGTATACCAGTTTAAAAAAAAAAAAAAATCATACTGAAAGGCACTGAGCGCATGGCATCTGTTTTCCAAGTATCTGCAAGGTTACTTGGCTTGGGCGTCCAAATCAGAAATGTGTTTTTCCTTTTAAATCTGGCAATCAGATTCTAAAGTAAGTGTCCACAACCCTAGCCATTATAAATAATTTGGTACCAAGAAGCCTACTTTAGGCCACCATTATAGTATTCAGAATCCCAACATACTAATTTAAAACTTGCATGAAATTGTAAGCAAAAATATTGCTCACAGTATGATGAATCACAATTTTATTCCCTCTTTATAGACAGATACATTTTATACAGTTTAAAGCAAATGACCCTACTGCTGTTCTCACGCAGAGCTGTGCTGTATTAAGAGGTAAAAAGGAAGAGAATTAATCTGTTTTCCCTCAGTATATGAATGTTGCCAGCTTCTAAAGGGAGGACGGTGTATGGATTCAACAACAGTTCTCATGGAGAAGCTCTGGTTAGGCCTGGGTACAGCACCACGGCTGTTACAGCAACCAAAGCTGCCATCACAGGCATCCAAGGCCATTGTCTCTGTGTGGAGAGAAAAAAAAAATCAATATCATATTTGCTCTAATTCATACTAATCAGTTTACCCCGTGGTTCCTGAAAGTCTTGAGTACCTGTTGATAGGCATCACTAAAATGTTACCCATGAGCCCTACTGCAGGCTAGTCCTGACTTAGAGCATCACAGTAAACCGTGCTTCTCTACCAAAGGGAACTCCACAACTCTTCATGACTGAAGATCATCAGGACAACTTTTGGCAGTTCCGTACTTCCACCTTCATTACTGTACGCACCTCAGAGAAATCTGCTATTAAACATGTGAGGGCTTAAGATGTTTAAAACATTGCTCGTGCGAAGTAATCGCTAGACAAAGGTTTATGCAGTACTGACATCTTTAACTTAGCTTTTGAATGTTCAAATCCAGATCTATGAAGTTAATTTCTAGCAAATCCTAACAACAGCATTTCTAATGGACTGTCACAACATTTCATGACAACAGCATTTTAAGAGGAGGACACACTGAGAGACATTAGAGAAAATGCAAGCTGAGAGTTCAGAATACAAACCAACCACCTATTTCTCGTCTTGTCTTTTTTTCCCATCTTCTTCATAGCAACAGTGAGAAAAATTAAAGTGTTTAGAGCCAGAGAGGAATTTCTTAGTCCATAAATAGGAACCAAAGCTTCTTGATTTTTATTATTATTTAGAGGCAAACTCTTCATTTTTCATGGTTAATTAAGCAATTAAGTTTTCTTACAGGCCCTAGCATCACAGCATTGTGCAAAAGGTAGCCCATTTGCTAAAGACAAACTGAGACCAAGTTAGAAGCAGCACATTCAGAACCAGTTAGAACGAAATCCATTGTTAGAATTAAAGAAATCACACAGATGTTAAATGATTAGTTGATTGCTCAGCTCATCAGTATCAACAGAATGGCATATTAAATGAAGGGTTTGCTTCAGGTAAAGAAATACCTGTGAGCATTTCACCATGCACTATTTTATACAGAAATGGCACAAACAGGTGAGAGGGACAAACATACATTGACTGAACAGTAGTGCTTGTACCTTTCGCTACCACAATGGGCCGTAACACCAATACAGGAAAGCCAGGATTAGGCCGATGAATACGGCTGGGACGGGTTGTAATATGGAAGGCTAAAGAAGGGAAGGGATATTAAAAATCACTTTGTGCTATAAATCAATCAGGAAAAGATGATTTAGAGAGGGGAAAATAAGTCAGTGAGTTGTGTTTTAATTGAAATGTATTAAAGACATCTAACACAATACAGCATTATCTAATCTGGTATACAAAGTTAGTACACCGTTCTACTCAAATGAACAGGGATGTTTAAAAATAAAGGGAAGTAAGCAGAAAATGTTCTAAGAAACCTCTTGTCACAACTTGGAATTTAGCACTTAAAAACAATACAAATCTTAAACTGATTTGCCTGTATCTTATTTATAGCTGGGTTTTGTTTTTTTAAGCGATAGGAAATCCCATCTGGATTTCTTAAGGTAGAAAGACTCACACCAGATATTGAATTTTTCAGCTACTTCTTCATTCCTTGCTAGTTAGCCTTTCCCATTTTCCATCACCAGCCTCCAGGAAAAACATTTTTTTTCCTCCATTAGTGAATCAATTACAACTATGTCCACAGGCAAACCCAGTTCAGACATTTCCATGAGATTGTAACATGACTGTACAATCAACACTAAATTACTATAAAAGCAGGGAAGTACATTTTGATTAGAGATACCACAAAGATCAGCATCTCTGGAAGGTCAGCAGCCTTGTGACCAAATGCAATTCTGAAAAAAATCGATCAAATGTTGCAGCTGGGCCAAACTACCAGCTGGCAAGACTGCAGGGTTAATTTAGCTTACAGCCTCATTAGAACCATCTACATATTTTCTTAGCTACATTCAATTAACTGCAAACTACTTCACATTCTGGATGGACAGCCCCTATCCTTAATATGACAAATTAAAAGCAAAAATGGATCTAAATTCTTTTTAAGCTGTCCTTGGAAGACTTCTGCTTTCTCTGTATCCTAACCTATATATTTGTGCACATACAAAGACACACAGAGGTTAAGTTCAAACCATGCTAAGTATTTTAAGAACTTTTTTGTGCTGAAGCCACCTTGATTTTCTTCAGTCAAATAAACAAATAAATAAAAAATTAATGTTTGAAGACTTTCTAAAATATCGTGATTCATAAATAAAATCTCATCCTGTTATGAATTTGTAGAAGTCACTTATTCATAGAGCCTCCAATATGGTTCAAAACACAGGAATCTTAGAAAGTATTCTAGTCTCTGCCATTCAATTTAAATTTGTTTTAATCAAGGCAAATATTTAACCAAAAAATTATGTGTAACTATTGAAGTCATTTTCATGCAGGATTATTTTTGTGTCATTGGTGCCACAAATCGGAGTGCCACCTTGCCACAGAAAGCATGTTGGTAGAAATAATCACAGCAGTGTTCAAAAGAGTGCCAGAAGTTTAAGTCAACCAGAGCAGCTAATGTCCTCAAACCATTCACATAAATAAATCTGTCATATAAAGCGCATCAGGAAATAATCAGTGACTACAAGCATGCAAGCACAAGTAGTACACCACACTGCTAAGCATTTCAAGAACACAACACCGCAATTTTTTAAAAAGTAAAACTTCAGTATAAAAACTTAATATTTAAATGATACCCCAAATGGAGTACAGAAGCCTTGTCTTTTCTAACATTTGTTAGTTCACTGAATAATCCTATAGATTTTTTTTTTTAGTTATATGCATTTATGGCTGTGGCATTTTGGCAAATGAAACAGATGATAAATATCCACCACATTAAATGAAATTGCCTCCAAACGATTAAATTTCCCCCCTCATGAACTTATCAATATATCTAACAAATCCCCTTATTGTTGAGGAGCATTTAAGTAGGTGCTTCATCAAAAACGAGCATCTTGTATTAGAATATGAAGATATGCAAACTCAGATACAGATGGGCTGCAAAAAAGGAACAAATCCCACAGTGGTAAGTCACGTTCTGTGGGACACTGTCCTCAGAAATGAAGTAGCAGATAATGATTCCAGTGTAAGAGGACAATGGTACTTGAAAAATTTGACTTTGGAACTCAGCCCAGTACCCATGATGCTTCAAATAATCCACAAGATAGATATGTTTTACATTACTGATGGCAAGTAATGTTTGCTTGAACAGCAAGCTTATCCTGCAGGTCCTTACGTGGTTGGATGCTCTTCATCATACCCTGACCTCCAGGTTTCAACTGTCATAACTAACTCCTCTGGAAGCAGATTTTGGCAACTGCTGTGGTTCCTGATTTCTTCAAATACTCACCTCAAATTCTTCCTAAAATTTCCCTTACCTTGCAAGCTTTTCCACTTTCATCAGGTGCTCCAATTCCCTTCACAGTATTTCTTCCCTCTACTATCCCCCTTTTTCCACTGATCATTTTAATCCTGAAGTTAATGTTTTTAACAGAGCAGAAAATCTCACATTGACAATCACTTATTCAGTGTGATCTCTTCTGTTAGAGTAGGGCTTTTTTGGTTGTTTGTTGACTTCTGCCTACTTTAGTAACTCACTATTATCTGAGCATTGCAGAAGAATTCTAAGCAGGATGCAGGTTCCAAGAGAATTAATTATAACATCATATTCCTGAAAATATGGCTGAAAAAGTGAGAAGGGCTTCGAATTCTTTACATCTTTGACAGCTCTACTATGTTAGAGTTTTACATTCAGTAATTGGCTATGGCAATTCATATTCATCCAAACTTTGGGCATCTAGCAGCCAGCTGATTTTAGAGGATGGGACCTGTAAAACTTTTTTATTAGTCAGAGAAACAACTTTCTAAAAGGCTATTACAAAGCATCCATTATCCTCCTGTTTTGTACTGTCCACTACAGGAGTTGTTCACCCAGCAATGATTATACAGGTAGTAGAGGAAGACAATAAACCAGCCATCCCAGGGTACTAAGGTTTCTAAAATAAGGCTATGACCACCTTATAATGTGTCTGCCACACCCTTAGTGTTTGGAGGATTTCAGAAGTTTCGGTATAAACAAAAGTTGTCCCTAGGTGTAAACTCAATTCTAATGATACCAACTCTCAAATTAATTGCAACAGAGAAGAGTATTTTCATTAGTGAGTAGAAAGGACAGTTCAACTGCACTGTTTAAAGCATGAGCCCATCAGGTATAACCACTGTTAAGAAGCATGAGCAAGAGTAAGGAGGGAACATCCATTGTAATAAGTACTAATAAAATAAAAGCATCTTGAAAAAGATTGCTTAATTCATTTGGATACAGGTTTCTCAGCTTTTACCCATGTGCCATTCTCTGAAATTAAAAAGTTTTACTATTTAAGCCAGATGTTTCCAAGAGAGCAGATATCTAAGGCCATACTTAAAACTGTCACACAACTGTAAGTTTAACTTGCATGCATAATTGTAACAGTGTAGTGACCTGCAAATTTGCACAGGTAGTACCAGAGTTGAATTTTGCATATACTATGGTACACAGCCTTTTTTTTTTTTTTTTTTTAAAGTCCGTCCTTTTCTATTTGACACTTACATATTCCCTCAATCAACACAACTGCCAGTGTCATAACCTGATTTCCCCACATATTTTGTACAGACTTACGTTGTTTCCTTTTTCTTGTAGCAGCTTCAGGTTTTCTTTACACTGTTTGAGCTCTTCTGTGAGTGACTGGTTTTCTTGTTCAGCCATCTCATACTTTGCCTTCAGCTCCGAGAGCACAGTCTGTGTTCTTTCATACTAAAGACAAAGAGAAAAAAGTCTGCGGACCTCTGGACACCCAACACACGCTTACATTTGCTTAGCGCATAGCTTCCTTTCCTGTCATCTGCCTAAAGCAACTTGCCTTGGATCAGTACACTCTCTTTTCATAAAAGCAGGGCAGAAAAATCTTAGTTTAGATTTTCTTTTTTTCTAAACGAAGATTTTTGTCAATGACTTTGAAGGGCTAGAATTACTAAAACCAAGGAAATACAAAGTAAATGCAAGGCCTTAAATTATCTTGCATACCAAACAATCACTCATTATCATATTGGAAAGGACCGTAAAAACTATGACAACAAAACAAGAAAAAGGAGAACAAGGAGTCCTTTACATTTAAAGAGTGTTCTTGCATCTAGCCTGTAGCTTAAATAGCTATACCAATCAAATAGCTGCAAAAATCAATGTTCTGTGTGAAGTAAATCAAACCCTCTTCCCACGTAGCAAACTGAAACATAAGAGTAAGAAAGGCATTAAAAAAAATATTATGCCTTATTAGTATCACGCCATAATCCTCAGCGTGACTCAAGTACAAACAATACTGGGTGAATGTGCCTCATGTTCCTGCAGTATGGGCAGCTTCTTTTTCAAACTCACATTCAATTTTTTCTATAGATCACAAGCTTTCTAGTAGTCCTCATGTCAGGGATTAGTAAGGACAGAACCAATGACTCTCAGTACTGGCATTTACCACAAATTTAAAAGACCAGGCATCTTTACAAATACATCTGATTACAAAAACACAGACAAGACCAGGTTTTTCAAATTCTGAAAAAGCTAAGGAATGTGACATGGATGAGTTAATGACAAAGCAAAGCAAAGGACTGCAAAAGAAACCAAAAGCAGTGACTGGGGAAAACTTCACTCGAAATGATCGTAAGTTAAAGTGAGTAATTGTTGGAGAGTATGGCCGCCTTCTAGACATAATCTTTAGAGGCTAGGCAGATGAAATATATGCTCAAAATGCTAGCTTTTCCTTATGCACTTGCTAATCATCTTCAGCAGCCCACTGATGCAGTCAGATGAAAGGAGAGCTTAGTAAAGAATGCATAGTCCCATTGGCAAATAAAAGAGTTTAAATCTAACTAGGAAGATCATACTGACTAAAAAGAATTAATTTTGACTCACAACAGCTAATGAAGCTCTGTACCACAATGTTCAGGAAGACTGAATAAGGGTTTACCTGTCTGAACAGCTTAAAAGTAAATTCACTAAGGTAATGCACAAAAGTAAACTTTAGGAGGTTCCTAAGATACATGGAAGTCATTTTATCTGTAATCTTCCTTTTTAGATTTAACCCCCAGTTTATATATTGTTAGCTACCATAAAAGTACTTGCAATAAAAGTATGAAAAATTTTGATTACTAGAAATCTTGTATTTCTCTTTCTTTTAGCCTAAAAGTCAAAGTCATTGGCCATTATATTCTCTCAAAACAGAAATAATGTTTTGTGTTACCTCTTTCTGAACATCTTTTGCTTGACTCTCAGCTTCACTGAGTTGGCTTTTTAGACTAGCTGCATCCCGTTGATGTTTTTCTCTCAAAGATCCCATCTGATTTTCAAGTTCCTTTCGAGACATTTCAAGAACACTTATATCGCTGGTTAGCGCTAAACTCTGTTTCTGAGAGCTGAAAAACAAAATCCAATTGATTCCTCATGTGTTTTAAGTTAAATAAACACAAGATTTTTTAAAGCAATTTTCATCCTCCAAAGCTTCACACATTATTTTTATTTAATATGGAAATATTGGCTTAGAGCAATCATAGAAGAACAGATCATCGTGGTCTCCCTATACAAAGTACTGACACAAAAGGGCAGCCATAGTCTTGCTTTTAAATATATGTGGACAGCTCAGTGTGTATAATTAATCATAATCTCTAATTTTAATAATTTACCCATTCGTAATTTTTAGCTTCTTATTTTATTATTCACTAGGTATTTATTATATATTCCAAAGTATTTTGAAATCAATTTGTAACGAGAAGTCATCCATCCAAGGTCGTTAGAAGTATTTCACTTATTTGCACACACACACCTGCTTACTCCAGTTGTATAAGCTAATATCTAGTATATATTCTTCAGGTGTTTAGTACAATTGTGTAACAGTCATAGAAAGCTCTAAATTAAGCCATTACAAACTTCAGTGTAATAACCAAGTAGTGTTAATTTGTCTGTGCAAAACAAAGAAAAATAAAGGAGAGATCTTGCATATCTCCATTATGCAAATCCTGTATTTGCTTGTGTGACCTTCCACATGAGAAAAAAAAAAAGTGGAAAACAGGGCATGATGGAACAACAAAGAAAGGTTTGATTCCTGTTAAATAACATATTAGCTCTAGAAATGTTTTACCATGGGAAATTTCTATTTTTTCAATTAGATCTTACAACAGTGAGGAAGCCAGAAAAAAAAAAAAAACCAACAAAAAAACCCCCAGATGGTTGGTAAAATTCAGATCTACAATAAAACAAAGTTGCTGTCCCATATTTACTTCGTGAACTAAATTCCAATATCTGAAACTGAAAAACAATGTAATAATGGCAGATGAAAGGATAAGAGGGGAAGTTACTTCCAGGCAGAAGATTTAGATAGCCTTTAGCAATGTCATGTGCTCAAACAGCAAAAGAGATACAGTAAAATACAAATACTCCTGCACTCTAAAATTCCCTCCAAAAGGTATTATGGCATTTGTGATAAGAAGATTTGTATTTTTCTGTTAAGCAAAACATGATATAGAATACTGTTTCTGCCCATCATTACTATTTATAATGTGACAGGCTTCCATGAGACACCATACTGAGAATCATTTCCCAACCCTGAATGCTGAGAAATTTTTGGGTTAGGAGATCTATGTGGTTTATTATCTTTTAAGTAGAAAGATAACTGTTAAGTCTAAATACTTCGACAAAGCACGCTTCCAAGTCCTTATTAAAAGCAGCAAAATAAGTCAGGTTGCCTTATGTCTATATAACACAACTGGTAAGTAATACAGAAGCATTTCCAAAATAGAAAAAAGCAGCTTGGTATAACAATATGGCATAAAAGTGTGTTCACCCCAATACTATGATATAAGTAAAATTTCAATACATTTGTTGAAACACCATCAGGCATTTAGTATCACTTTTGGGAAGAAAAAAAAACAACAACAAAACCTTTTCAGCTACTATGATACCTTCCTAGACAAATCCATTGTGCCCTCACCTAGAAAGCTCCTTCTCTTGTCGCTGAAGTTCAGATGTAAGCATAGTATTTTCCTTTCTTAGTGTAACACATTCAGCTTCCAGAGCACACCACTCTGCCTTCAGCTTTTCAAGTTCACCTGCAATGAATAAAATTTAATTGAATTGAGTAAAATTATTTAAAGTATCACCAGCTAATAAACAGAGGAAAAGCTGGTATCAATCATAAATCTCAAATATACTTGACATGATTATAGTCACATGAATTGTCTCACAAGCACCTATAAAACATTACAGTATCTTCTACTGTTAAGAAGTTTGTGAGCTGTTACACAAGGTAGTGCTTTTTTTTCTTTTTTTAGGCAAGCTTTTTCTAAGGCACAAAGGAGGAGAAAACAGTCTGTTTATAGGTCTACTCTAGCATTTTAGAAACAGTGACAGAAAAATGTCTTTGAAGAAATTAATTTCCATGACTTGAAAATAGCAAACTAGAATCACTAGATACCATGACTCTGCTACCAGGAACAGAATGTTTAAAGCAATAACTAAAGGGTGAAAACGAGACCTTTGAAATAAATCAGTCCCTGGTAAAACAGATAAAAATCAATGTTACACACATCTTAGTAATACAATGACAGAGACTGGAGTCTGAACTGGAGAAAGGCTTCTCTGACAACTTCACAAAGATTAACCAATTCAGAATTTAAAGCGTATTTTACATATGCCAGTTTCTCTGTGGCACGTACAAAGTTTCAGCACAAACTTTTGAACTCTTACTAGCAGATTCTCCAAGACCTGAAGCTATAGGCCTGGAGTAGTGACTCTCAACCAGTCCTCATGAGATGTGGGTGCATTACAGGTAAAGTGAAACACAAATGAATCAGCCTAAAAGAAGTCCTATGCTGGCTCAGCACAACATAATTGTATACCTCTACGTCATGTGTCCAGAATAAAGCTTTAATTTTAAATTTGTTTTAGCATTTTTATAAGTGACATGGTATGAACAGTTTTATTAAGCCATAAAATACAGTTATTTGTCTCAAGTGAAGGTTTGCTAGAAAAATTAAAAGGTCAGAAGCTATCCATTTACAGGCTTAAATTATACAGAAGTTACAGAGATCCCTTTGAAAATCTGTGGCAGTATCAATCCCTCAAACAGTACAAGTTTTCGATCTTTTTAAAGTGGAATTATACTTGGTCTGCTCTTGATTTCAAAGGGTACCTAAGCTAATTTAGGCATTTAATGAAGTATACAAAACAGCTTTTGTAACACTACAAGCCTTGATACACGTACATAAATACACACATATGCGTGTATACATATAGAGACATAGTAAACAACTACAGAGACAGACAAACAGTGATCTGAATAATTGACATTCATCAGATTGATAAGGATGCTACTGTTAGCACTGGTCTGTGACATCCTTTTAAACAAGTACCTTTTAAGCGAGTAGCCTCTTCCTTCTGCTGATCCTCACACTGCTGGCATCTGAGCTGAAAACTCGCTTGCAGATTGACAATTTCTTTTTCGTAATCTGAGGCATCCTTCCGCCAGAGTTCAAGCTCCGCTCGCACTGTTTGCAGCTCGTCTTGCAATGCAGAAATATCTGTATCTCGTTCCGATGCTGCCTTTTCTGCTACTTGTTGAAGTGACAGAATCTCATTTTGAGCACTGACTAGTTCATCTCGAGTGCTTGAAATTTCATTCTCCTTTTCCTCACGAAGATTCTCAATATCTTCTTGTAACCTTCGCAACTGAGCTGGAAAGCATACATTAACGTTAATATTTTTTAAAACAGAAAATCTAAAAAACACAACTCCCTTTCTCAACATTTAATAGGACTAAAGAATCCTAACGCAATTAAAAAAGATACTAATCTTGTCAAATGTGTACCCTTAAAGGCATGTGTATGGTGTCATGTATTACAGAGAGTCAAAAGAAACAAGAATTATAGTCGGACAAAGCTTTCTTAGGGTTGTGTTATGTGTGCAATACTAAAGCAAGTCTCCAAAATCTGGAACCAAAATTTAGATCCAACTTCATTGTAGGCAAAACAAGTATTATACAAGGACACCGTGGGTTTCAGGGACAACAGGGAAAGCAAGAAAACTTCTGTGACAAGCCAAACAGTTGCAAAGCTACAACGGAAATGTTTGCCTGTTCAGCAGTTAACTTGTGATGTCTATAAAATTTGAGGCACAGAGTCTAATTTCTACTTGTCTCAACATGTAGTAAAGGAAATAAAAATTACTTTATTTCTTTGCAAAAAGCATTTTTCAAAGCGCAAAGTGAATTCTGAATCAAAAGGGACAGCTGCACCTAATATACTGAACTATCAGAAGTCCTTAAGCATTTACAGTTTACTGTAAATGTGCAGCAGTCACACATGCTAGGCTATTTTACATCTCTGCATGGAGCAAACCTTATAAATTATACCCATTCAAAACTGTTTCATTACTAAACACATTTTTTTGAGCGCAACTATTTTTTATAAACAAACATGCACATAGAATCCAGTGCCAACAGTTGGAAAAAAAAGTACAGTACAGAGGAAAAGGAAGTATGAAAGAAAGAGGAACAAAATTACAGTTAAAACCCTGACTGATGGAAGCGAAGTGTTTAATTTGCTCAGCATTTTTGTTTTGCTTTTTGAAGAACACATATCAGAGTTCAAATATAGTAGTAATATAGGTAGAATTAATATACAGGTACAATCTAGAAACTTTGCTGTTAGTTGATGTAGTGAAGAAGAAAAATGCAACTTTTTTCTCCTCTCCTCTGAACAGGATCCAGCAAGACATTTAGCTCATTAGATAAACTAAAGAACCTACAAATTACCCAGTTCCACACTCCGGAGGAAAAAGACAGTATGGGGAAAAAAAATATTGTATTTATTATATATTGTAATACATAAGAGCTGTTATAGACAACGAGTTAGATGTCACAGCAATTCTGTGTAAGATGAAATGGTCTATCTGTTCCATAACAAAGACATTTGCAGCATGATGGATTTTTTTAATATACGTGAGCAACATGAGGCTTACTACCACCTCATTTGTTTGGAAATAGTTTCTACAGGCTTATACTAACAGAATAGCAAGCAAAGTAGTAGATAAGAACAACGTGGCAGCAATACAACACATTACATATTAATAAATTGCCTTTCCATGTATCCTTACATTAGAAACCTTGAATCTACCAAACCAGTATGCTAGGAACCCACACGTTTCTAAAACACCAAGAATTATACCTTGCTAACATAGCAGGTGCCCATTAATGAGCAAAGGAATGTTTTTTTCAAACCATACCTTCCTGATAATATTATCTTTATCAAGCCAAGCTAAATTCCTGCTTCTCGGTAATGGCAGTATTTCAAAGAAATTTGTTTTTTTTTCTTCTGTTTGCATTGTTGATGAACAACTCTCCCTTTAAATGTTCAGGCATGAAAACAAGCATAGTATGACTGAAAATCCAAACACATACATGCATTTCTAAAGTTTGATGGAGTTGCAGAAATAACTTACAGAGGAAAATTACTACCAAGAATATTGGAATGGTTTCTGAAGCACTGGATATAATTTGAAAGGGCAATTAGAAAGAAAACTTCCATTACATCTCTTATTTATGTAAGCCATTACCTCATCTAAACTAACACTTAATTTTTATTTTTTTTTAATAAGTAATGACAAGTTACTTGAATTTCCTTGCCTTATCTATCTGTTCATCTAAAGAACTTCACACGTAGAGACAGGATCTCAGTTGTTGCTGTGGCACCTTCTCTTCTCTATGACAAACATATAAAGCCATGTAGCACGGGCTGGCCTGAAACTTTGATTCCATGAAAATACTTCAAGAAATGTTACTGCATGAAGCTGCCAGGATTTTTTTTCTCCACTACAGTTCACAGAGACTGCCAAGAAAGAATCTTGACAACTTTTCCCAAGTTGTGAGATGTGTCACACCCCAAAAGTTTGGGAAGCAGCAGGCATACAACAAACATCAGAACATTCTGAACTACAATGGAGAGAGAAGTGGAGGAAATATTAGCAAGACCTCACTTGAGAAGGATTCATGAAACAAAAAAAAAGAAAGTACTGAACTGAAAACAAGCACCTTGCAGTTAAGTTTGGCTCTGTCAAGCTTCTACTTTGATTCTCCTTTTTTGAGAGGGAAAAAGATTTCTTTTTTCTGCATAAAAATAACTATCAAATTCTAATTTCTAACACTAGAGCATTTTTTACTTGGAGAATTTTCATTCTTAGCAGGATAAGAGTCAAAACTAAATTGCTCCTCTTGTTCTGAAGATGGGTATTATGTAAGCTCCTCTTCCTTACAGGAACAATGGCAGAAAACATAAACATGATTTGCTGACATTTATATAAAACATTGCAATTATATAAGCTTCTCGGTGTTAACTGGTATATGGCAAGTACCACATTCCACAACAAACTACTGCCCATAAACTAACTGGCTAAAGCTATCATGATTTCCTAAGAAAGTGAGGACTGTTAGTCCATCTGCCTGCCTGCTCATCTGCTTTCCAACCATTTTTGGGTCCAAAGCAAATGTTATGCTGACAGAGATGCCAAGGTATGAAGCTCCTACAAGCTTCATAACAATCAATGACTGAGTAGATGTTCAAACTAATGCTTGCTCTAAGGAAGTCACAATATAGCCCATATTGATTTTAAGGCTAGACAGCCTCTTGACCAATGAGGTCACTCACATGCACAGGGTAGCAAATTAAAGTAATACAGAATATGTGACACTCAAGTTATGTAAATCACAGGATACCATTCCACTATGATTACTTTGGGCTGAAAAGAGCATGATTGGTCATACTGTTTTTTCTAAAAGCACAGAAAGTGTCCCTGTTGCAGAAATTTTACTGCATGCTGGGAGGCTGGATGTAGATCTGGATTAAAAATTTCTTTAAGAGGATCCTATCAATGAAGTAAAGAGACTGAGTAGCATAAAAAAGACTAAACCTTCCAAGTGCTCTGAAGATAAAAATAGTCACAGTAAGAAGCCTTGGATCATCCAAAGCTGAGAAAGACTGAAGAGAGAGGAAGGAGAAGAGGTATCTGTTACAGGTTACATCTTTTGCATTTTCTAAGTTATGATTAGAACCATAGGAATTGACAGGAAACATGTCACGATAAAATTCAAAGACATGGTGGAAGAAATCAGATTTAAAACATACACTCAATTAATATTTTCCTTTATTAGTGCTTATGATGCCACGGAAACAGCCAAAGCTATATATTTTCCCTAAAGAGTGGGGTGAAAAAAAATAAATTCCTACCTTGCAGAACATTTATTTGCTTGCTAGATTCTTCAACTTGCACTCGATACGCTTTTCTCTCTTCTTCCAATAGTGCTATAAATGAAAGTGAAAATGTGCCCAAAAGTTTTCGTAAGAAGTATTTCAGCTGTGTAATTAATTTTAGTCAAAACTCCCCCTTAACTGAAAAGATTAAAATAATCATATTATTTCAGTAAGTTATCAAAGCTAGTAACTGTGTAAGTAGTTTAATAAAAAGTTAATATTAAGACATCATTCCATTATTATGGTAGTATTACAATTAATTTGAAATTAATATAATCTGTTGCCTGATCCAAAAACTCCATGTGTGCTAAATGCAAACAGGTGTGGGAGGAGAAAAAAATAATCTGTAAATATACCCCATAAAGAACACTGAACAATAAGCAATTAAACTGGACGATACTATTTCCTGTCAAAAACAACCCACAGTTTTGCTGAGGATAATGATACAGCTACATATCTGATAGGATGATCTAAACAAAGAACTACCACTGAACACATTGCATTATGTGCATTATCTGACTGAAATACAGATTAATAAATATCTGTAGATTAATATATAAGCATGAAATACATGGAGTTCAAGTATGTATTCAATACTGTGAAAAGACTCCAGAACCAAAAAGTCAGAGCTCAATTGGACCGTATATAGTTTAGAAAAAAAGCAAAAGGTTCTCACATTCTGCGCAGAAGACAAAACAAATTTATCAGACAGTCCGCAAAATTGGACCCCCTTTTAAGACTCCCTGATAAATACAATTTTAATGGATACCCTACACAATCAAGTGATCTGGGTCTCACCTTGAAGTTCAAAGCATTTTTGTTTACTTGTCCTAGCTAGCTCTTGGGCTTCAATCAGCTCCTTGTGCAGTTGCTGAATTTCTTGCTTAGCCTCAGTCTCTGACTGTGCACCCTGCAATTCATCTGATAAAAGAACATTTTCTTTAAATTGTGAATTTGTACAACAGTTTATTTTGCACTGCCATGTGGTGACTGGCAACATTCATTCAAATCATCTGAAGTTAGTTAAAGTAAACTCAGAATTGGGTTAGGTAAATATTAGCAAAAATATTAATATACTTTTAAAAGGAGGAAAACATATGCAAACTTCAAAACGTTCATCATATATAACATGCAGTATAAAAGAAGAAATAGCAAACAAGAATTAGAGAGGTTTTAAAAACACTGTATAGATTGGCAAGGATTCCTGGACTGACAAAAATGAACAAACAACAAGCATAAGACAATCTCTGACTGTGTTTACAACTTGTCTGTTTTTAAAAGGAAGCTCCTCTAACCCTCTCTCCTAGCACATGCTTATCAGCACTGATCCTGCCTCGCATCCCCTACCTCCCAAGCCCACCCTCCCACAGTCCTGCTCCTAACAGCACGTACCAGCCCTGGCAGGCAGCATACCAGCACACTTACAGACCCAGCCTCGCACTGAGGCTGGTTAATGCCAGTCAGCTGCAAGAGATTATCCAAAGACCTGCTATGAAGTGGTTTGCTACTGCCAATCAGCTTGCTACCATGCAAGGCCTGGCTTCCCCCTCTACCTCTGTGGACCGTAACGACAAGGAAAGGAATAATTTAGGGAAATTTTCTAAAACAAAATTAAGAAAACGAAGAAAAGTCCACCCTCTTCATTTCATTCAGCGGCCTAGTGAATACTAAGCTAAATTTTGTTTGCCAAGTTTTTTTTCACTATGTCTTAAAATATCAGATATATCTTCAATACAATCGGATATCTATGCATGTTATTTAACCTCTAAATAAAAACATTTGCTCTTCCCCACAAGTTTTGTATTAGCTAAAATGCATATGAAATACCTCTTGGGCTTATAAGTCACAACTTGCAGTCACAGGCAAATTAAATACTTTTAAAGCTGAAGTTTTTGGGGAATTTAAAAGAGGAAAAATAAGTATTCGTAACTAAAGAGCAGTGTCCTCTAACGGGCACACACTAGAAACTAGATGCAGTAACAGGGAGGAAGACAACACTCTAGCCTGCAGGCATCTGCGATGCCAGGAACTGGATCCAGGAAACTCTCATTCACTACATTTTCCTTAAGTAGTGTCTGTGTGGAAACAGATCTTTCAATAGGCACAAACAGCACTACTAAACTATATAGGCAGAGGGCTAAAACTTTATGTAAGGCCTGTTAGGTGAGAAAGGTAGAGGAAGGAAATCAGTGAAAGAAGTCCAGCTGTGCATCATAGGAGAGGGAAAACAAAAAGCTAGGTGTGCTACACAGCTAACTCGTTAATAAATGCCTACCACTACAGACCATATGGATTTCAGATAAAGGCACACTGCTTAGAATAAAAACCCCAAAAGATAAATTACTTTGGTTGCCTGGACCTTTCACTAATAAGAAAAAAAATAAACACAAGCTATAGTTCAGTTCGTTATTATACTTTTGACATTCGTATTTGACTGTATATGTCACCAACAAAGTAAATATTTTTTTCTGCTGTTTTCTTAATTAAAAAAATTGTTTATCAAATCACGCTACAGTATTCATACTGCATCCCTCTAAGAGAAGAGGCTATGCTTTTTGTATTCTCACAGTAATGAATTCGTGGGATCGAGTAGAGCTGAGGGCACACATGTGCTCTTAGACTTTTTCAGAACAGAATTATGAGAGCAGAAAGAACAAAGAGGACCACATATTTCATCCAAATACTTTCTAGTACAGCTTATTAGAGTTCCAAATCCAAGTTTCTCTTCACTGAACATGTTTTGTTCTTACCTTCTCATGGATAAAGACTTGGGGCAATTAGACTTTCAACCCTCCTTAATGAGACTGTTCAGAAGAAATGGATGAGGAAGCTGACAAATTATGCTCAAATCATGCCTGATAAAGAAGTAGTGTCCCAAATCCAACAATAGACACCCTAAATGAACTTTCTGGGGGACAGTGTTTTCCAATCAATGAAAGCACACATCATAAAAGATAATACTGCTTCAAAGGAGACGAGGAACTCAACTTGTGGGACAACATCATCAGTTTAGCAAAGGCACAATCAAGGTAAAAAACTCTTTCCTACTCAAATGCAATAGGGGAATTTCCATATGCCTGACATAACTCTAAATCAAAAGCCAAGAAACATAAGCACAAGAAAATAACAGCTTTTCTGTCCTACCCAAACTGAAAATTTCTTTAATGTCTTTTAGTTCAAAGCAAACATCATTTTTCTGCTAACTTTAGTTTTGAAAAAAATTCCTTAGTGAGTAGGATTGCTCTATTTATAAGTAATAAAACTACTAAATATCATCAGGCTTAGAATTAGTTTCCTCAAGAAGCAAATTCACATCACAAAAACCTGGTTTGAGAACCAATGTAAAAGGCTGCAATTAAAGAAAGTATTTGAACAATTTCCAGAAGTATTCAGCACTGGACTAACTGTTCTCAGAGAAGTCTAAGGAATTCTATCATTAATTACAAGGTGCCAAAAAAAAAAAAAAGAAAAGTCAAATACAACAGTTTGAAAACCCTCATTCATTTATTCTAGCTCATGGAAAATTTTAATCTGTGATCAGATTGTTTGCCATGTTACAAGAAACTTTCTTAATTAACACCACTTTGTTTCCCACACACTCACAGTGACGTTTCCCTTAACATCAATTATTTAAAATTGTTAAAAAAAATTAGCATGATCCGTACAAATCATTCCCAAAGTACAGGAAAATTTCTTCTCCTTCAACCTGGCTCAAGAAAAGGAGTCTAACCCATGGGTCAGTTTTGGGGAAAAATGACCATTTCCAAATCATTAAAGAATATGATGGTGTGTGAAGGAATATTTTGCAATTTTAGGATCTGTAACATAAAATTTCAATAAAACCAAAAGAAAAACAAAACTCAGATTAAATTAATATTTACAAACATGAAGATATTAACAGAGGTCTGCTTATATGTTTGCCTTTACACTCTGGTTTTGATAACAGAGATGATATAGAACCACACATAGGCTGTGGTCTTAACTGATCCCTTCTCTGTACGTGCCTGGCCTGTGGAAGCAATATTATGAGTAGGCTGGTATTTCTCCAAGTCTCACAGCAGTTCACTTTCAGAATTTTGCAAGATTTCTCAGGTTATTCAGGTGACTATTTTCAGAGTACTCAGATGAAGTCAGTCGAGTTTTCTTCAGCTTCTTAAGATCCACATAAATGTATCGTATATTTTAAATAAGGTATCTGGCTATTGCAACATAAAACAATGGTTCCCAAACTTTCTGAATCAACAGACCATTGCTGATTTTCAAAATTTCTTAGGTAAACTACCATTATTCAGCAAACCCTCAACTGAAAACACTTTTTATTAAGATTCCATGGATCAGTCTTGTAGCTACTATGAAAATGGAAGGAAGTTGGTAAGAACAAGATTACTAACCTTCCAATGACATTTATTGCTTCTTTCCACCTCTTTAACATTTACCTGTTTTTAACTTTGCAATAAGTAGTCACAAACAGCCTGTCTAAATAGAATTTGTTATTAATGGCTAATAAAGTCATTTACCTCATGGGGAAGAAAAAAAAAAAAGGCATTTCTACTAATTTGCGACAGCTTTTCCCCCTTCCCCTCTTTGCCAGATTCTGACTTGTAGAAAATTGAAACAAATCCTGAATGCACTCAAAATTTATTGATGGAAAATACACTTGGAGGAAACTACAGCAATTGAAAGTCTCACCATTTTCTTGCTCCATTAATTTTTTTTGTAATTTCCAACCGTTAAACGAAAAGGAACACTGCCTTTTCCAGCAGCTGTTTCCGCATTCCAAACAGCTGCCAGATCAGAAATGTTCTCACTCTTCCTGAATTGTACGACCGCATAACAAATCCACTTGAAAGTCTTTCTGTGGCAAATAAGATCCTTTTTAGGGCAAAGTCAAGCATATGAAGTAGCTCTCTGACAAAACCTCAAACAAAACTGCAGGTTTATAGGCTCTTCATAAAAAATACAAATGATTCACTGTACAGATATTTTTTAATGGTATCATGAGAGCAGAATAGGAATGCCCATAAATAGCCTCAAGAGAAGAAGAGTTACTGCAATTATTTTAGTTAATTGCAATATGCAATTCAATAGAAAAGCGGTCTATGCAAATAGGTATTTTTCTACTTATTCACTTTAAAGTTCAGTAATGGTTATGGTTTAAAACTTCAACTGAGTAAAGACAGGTGAAGGAATGAAAACATCCACATTAGCAAAAGACTGCTTCTATGTTACTACAGAAAACTTGATTTTAGTCCTTTAAGAGTCCAATTAACCCTCCCTGCCAGTTTAATACACCCTGGACAGAGAAAGTATAACTACACCTGACCCTTGCTGTGACATGAGACTGTTCTAATCCAGGAAGCAGCATGCTCACAGCAGCCTTATCTTGGTCTTGGGCTGTTAAACGAACCTTTCTGACAGAATTTAGGAAGACTTCACTTGCATATAAGGAAAATTCAGGAATCAGTGGTTTTCAGCCTGAGGGGCCCATGGACTACTTCTAATATGTCTGCAGAAGATAACTAAGAAATCCAGCCAATTAGTAGAAGTCTTCAGTTGGCTATCTTCGAACTGTAAGAATTAGAACTAAAATAAGGAGCTGAATTCAGTTTCTCTACTGTACTCTTTACATACAAAGGGTTGTTCCAGCTGTGAATTCTGTGCATGTGACAATGCTCACAGGAAGCAAACTCCTTAATGTGTATCTCATTCTGGACTTAAAAGTTCTGATAATGAACATCATGCTTTTCAACCAAAATTTTTTTCAAATAAAACTTGCCACCAAACCCAAATTTATTACCAAAACCAAGACTATCATAATCACTACGAACATCACCAGATTCTACCTTCTAACATAGGAAGTCACTGAATATACTTGTTATTAACTGCAGACATTAGAACAAAACCCAAATGGAACATGCTCAGTATCTCAAACACTCCTTTTTAAACTACTTTGCTGAACTGATATCCAGTGGAAAATATCAAACTCAATTTTAGTTTTGCTGTTTGGAAATACGTATAATAGATGCAATTTTTGGAAGTCCTTCTGTCATAAAATCAGAGAAGTGTAAACAATTACAGGAAAAAAAGTTCTTTTACAGGTCTCCTAAATTTCATTATGGTTTCCTGTCTTTCTGAACCATGAAGAAATGACATTCTTTTTACCCGTGATCCCAACGTAAGCATTATTTTACAGATCTTATCCAATGTCTGATTGTACATAAAGCACAAAATAATTAATTTTCAGTATGCTAACTGCAACAGCTAATTAATATCCCACAAATTTTTTCAGTTCATGAATGTGTAAATATTAGCTTGCTAATCAAGTTTTAAGTACATGCCTTCAGTGCAAAGAGCAGTAAAAAAAATTTAATTTTATAGCTATGAAGCTCAAAGCTAAGGCTCAGCAATCATTCTCAGACAGTTACAACAGGAAATTCAAATCTTGATTGTGTTAACCAAAAAAAGATTTTAGATTTTTCTTTTTAACCCATCAGGTGCAAACTAACAGAAGCATTTCTGACAGCGATAGAAAGTATACAAGCAAAATTTGGAAATGCTTAAAACATGTCAGTGATGGAAGAATTCCTCCACCCCACAGCTATTAGCCCTAACTTAAGTGTATGCTGAAACTATTTCTCAACTCTACTTGAAGTTATAACATGTAAATTCCCAGAACAGTGTTGGTCAGTGCAGAAACTAGCTTTATGCACAAATTATTTCTATACTAACACTCAGAAATATGCTTTTATATCACATCACCCAGGGGAATCATTATTGATATTTAAATGCAACTCTTCCATACTACCATGATTAAAACATTTGAATTTCAGCACTGTACTTCAATGCACATTTGATTAAAAAAAACAGGTAGGCAAAAAGATATATATACAGATTATGCATGTAAACTTACAAAAATAAATTTGTTTACCTTTTAGAAGAGCTACTTTAGCAATAGGTTCATTTAGGTCTTGGTCATCCATTTGGGCATCTAAAAAAAAACCAAACCCACACTTTTCAGAGAGCAGGTAGACTGCAGACAGCTTTCCTACATGCATTCTTTAAGCAAAGAGAAGCTTTTACGTTATTCTCACTTTACAACAGTTAATTATGAAGTTGCAAAATAGACGATGCTGCTCTGAACTTGTATCTGGCTCCACACAATACACACCTTCTCTACTCTTTTAGGAAGTGCTCGTGATCAAGTGATTTAATTCAAACTAATTAGATGTCACAGAAACCTCAGTTAAATGCTTACCTGTAGTGTCGTCGCTGCTTTTTTCTTTGCTTGGACTAAGAGTGTCCGACAAATCAGATTCTTTGACTCTTGCTTGATTCTCTGTAAGAGACAAGGAAAATCAACTACAATCAGTAAATGCTTGTTCAGTCTCTTAATCATAATTTCTTCTACACATCTATTTATTTAACTACTGCTAAATGTCAATAGAAAACAACTTAGTTGAAGAAACACTTAAAAACCTGGTGGTTGTTTATTTCTTTGAAAATCTGGGCTAAAATGGATTCAGCATCACTAACGTCATTAATCTAGCCTTGCATCTAATAGGGGATGCAACTCCCTCATGCACAGCTTGAACTTTTGTTAAAGCTGTATTCTTGCCAGTTGGAACTCTGTGCAAAAGCTGATTCAGTCAGGGAACAAATAAGAAAAGAAAACTAGAACAATGCAGATACTGTAACAAGTCAGAAAGAAACTGCTGTTAAGAATAAAACTGTGATTCAGTATTTTGGACAAATAAAATAATAGCAACAAGTCTTGTATATACGTACTGTTAAAAAGAAGTGTCATATGAACCAGTAAAGAATCACAGCAATATAAATTAATACACTAATTTCTAAAAAGAATTTTCAGTTCAAATCGTATTAAGAGAAGGCAGTCTATATCCTTTCCACCAAAAAATACTTTAATGAAATACCTGTTCATATACAATTCACCACATTATTACATGCAGCTTAGTGAAGCCACACAGTTGTTTGTTCTTTTGTTTGGTTAGGTTTCTTTACCAGTTCTAGATTTTTAATGGAGACCAGACATTTTCAAAAGGTGAGTGGACTTAATTATACTAGTGCATCCTTTTCCCACACAGAATTATCCCTGACTCAGAGTTTAAATGCTTTATGAGGCTGGTTTTTTTTGTTGTTTTTTTTGTTTTGTTTTGTTAAATAACCACTCCAGTTTAGTTCTGATGGGTCCATTAAGAGAGGCACACCATCTCTGGTGTGGGCAAACCCAGTAAGTCTATCAGCAAGGAACCATGTCACCAACATGCAGGTGAGGTTACACGTAATGAAGTCCTTCTTGGCTGACTATGCAGAGCCTTGATTTGACAGCAGCATTGCTGCCCACCTACAGATTAACAGAGGTTTACTCTTGGGTCTGAAGTTCCACATAGAAAGATATATATAAAAAGGCATCATTACAACATTCCCAGTGTACAGACTTTACTTCTACCATACATGCAGAAAAGCACAGTGAACACAAATAATTTCTTCACATACAGATACTGTAGATGCAACAAAACAGTACCAGGACATGGAAAGGTGCACAGCAATAAATAAATCAAGTGTTGTTATACCAATAGTGTTAATATATGAAAATATGTAAAAAACCAAAGGAGTAATGAGAAAGCTTGTGTGCATTGTTTTTTCAAATAACAGGAGAATAAATAAAACTAATCACCCCCAAAATGAAAGAAGTTAAGCAAAAACTGAAGACAACCTGTGCACCGACACAGGGAAATTAGCAAGATTACAAAACACAAACAGGTTAATAGAAAAAAGAGTTTTCTACATCTAACATGAAAAGTTTTCTAGTTCTCTGTGCCAGAATAACATCCATTTGTACATGAAATGCAAGAAGGCAAGTACAAACAAAGCAGCTGATCAAGAGCCAAACTCTTCCAATCCTAATGTAACTGAAATCACTGGGGAGGAAGAAGGGGAAAGCACCCATACGCTTAAAGCACATTAGGGGTTCAGACCTGGCAGCTATTCCAAACATCTCTCTCATGACTTCAGCAGACTTCAAAGCTCATAATGACTGGAGTAGTTAAAAACTTGATGTTTGGGGGTGGTTCTTTGCTAAAACAAAAAAGGTACTTGCCTGTTTTTAGATATTAGTTAGGAAGCTTATTCCTAAAGACATTACGATACAAAGCATTTTACACGTAGCATACAGAATCAAGCTCACAAGATTGCCATTAAAACTGTAACAATTACTAAACCAAGTAATACATTCTTTTTAAAGTATTAAGAAAAGTATATCCTAAAAGCCTCACCCATGTCGTTTATATTAGTGGCCAATCCAGAAGCACTAAGCTGAGCAGTATCTGTATCCAACTAACTTTACCATATCTGGTCATACATGGGAAACACAGCTTTCCTGCTCTGTGCGAAACAGGAGGAACAGCGCAAGTTCCAACTGCTGCCTTAATTCTCTCTTCCCCCACCTCCCCTCAGACTCCCCTCCCGCCCACCCTCGGGTACACCAGCTTCTTCCTCCCTCCTGTCCTCCTCCCCCTGAAACACGGAACAGGATTAGGCACCAGAGGAAAGATGCATCAGTGTCTGCATCTGAGACAGCAGAAGTCAAGAAGAGAAATGATTTAGAAACCTGCTTCCTGTTCTGGAACCAGAGTCATAAGCACAAAACTCCTTCCTGTACTATATTATTTCATGGCAGTTCTCCCTATTTCCCATAATAAAGCTGAGCTGAATATAGACAAAATGATGAAGTATATTAAAATGTGTTGACATCATACTTACTTGATGAGTTAGAATATATTAACAAACACTAAAAATAGCTCACCGCTTTGCAAGATAACTGGCATCCAAGTGTTACGTTACAGTTATTGTATGCATTCTTTTGCCAAATATGGCATGTTGTCTATAGCTTACTCACATACAGAAACAAATCAAAGGTGCAATTTCATACATTGAGGTAAGAGAAGATAAACTGAAAAGTCTCTAAAATACCAGTACTTTTAACCAGCTAACATTTATTCAACACAATAATACTTTTCAGAAGGACAGAGGGTAAACAAATGAGTTAGTATGTCTAGATATTAATGAAAAGCTACAAAAGTGGAGTCAGCCTACAAGTCCAAACAATCTTACATTATTAGACACATAGGAAATACCGATCTGCACACTTTGTAGCATTCATGATTTTGGCCCTGTAAGATATGGCAGTTCCTTGACAAGAGAAATCTTTTCTAATTAGCTTCTTGTATTTTACTTGTTTTATACAGAAAAGAGTAGAGATACACAGATACATTCTACTTAGGAAAGGCACGTTTAGGAGTTTAATAGTTACTTTAAAGTTATGAGGGTGTAAGTTAGGAAGAAGTCAAATTGAAATACACTTTTATTTAAAACTTAAAATGAGACCAAATATTATTTCTATTTAGTCCTACAATAAAAACAAAAACTGGTTTGAAATTTATGCAGGCACTAAAGTTTTAAATCAATTTACAAAAACTATTATAATTTTTTTTTTAAACTGCACATTCAGGCAAGGATTCATTAAAAAACGAGACTAGCATTTCATGCACTCAATCTTCAAAAATTGTTTCCTTTAAATCTTTTTACCCTACTATAGTATTTGGAGCAGAGTTCAATAAACAATATACCTTCCCTTCATTGATTTTTTTCTTAAGCAAGTATTCAACAAAACTCAAACTGCTAGTTTAAGACAGAACATGCACTGAAATGACACAAAAAACATGCTTCAAAAACAGTTAAATAATCCAGAAGTCTAACCTTTCAAAAGCTTTGTTTCTTCCACTTTGGTTAGATGTCCTTCATCTATGATCTTGTCTGCCAAACAAAATAAGTGTTACTTTCCAAGCTCAAATTAAGCAAGCTTTTCCCTGCATGCATCTACGTAGACTACATTCCATGACCAAATTAAAAGCTGATAATATTACTTCCTACTCAGGCTTGAACAAAAACTTTATTCTGGCATGGAATAATGAGACAGAGCACACAAGTCTACCAGAACTTTGTGATAAAGTACATAATTATTTCTTCTGCAATTTATTAGCTTATATTATTAATGCTTCAGTTCACTAATGAGAAGTTAGGAAAATTAATTTTTATGAACTTTTAAAAATCCAACTGGGAGTAATAAATAATTAATACATTTCTCAAGTTAGTTATCAAAAAAAGGAATTCTAAGAGCCAGTTGCCTGACACAGATATCCACCTGATACAGCAGAAATCTAGAAACACGCCACAGTAAAACAGCAATTGAGAAACCACCTCCACATCACAACAGCTTTAACACTGCCTATGAAAGGTACACAGAAATAGCCTTTCTTAGCTTAAAACTTTGAGAGCTGCACAAACTTCCAAAAAATTGTGCATGCACCACATTCAGGTTCACAAAAATTGAGTTTACATGTAGCATTCACAGGAAAGCCTATTCATATATGTCAGGTGCACAGAAACCTAAACCATGGAATTTGAAACTAGATTGCTAAATTCATCCTAACCCCAGCTAGGACATGAAGGCAGACAGTAAGACCAAGGGAAGAACAGGTCTGGATTAATCAAAGATACTAAAAGAACTATTGAACCATTTATTAATTACTTTTTTGGCGGAGATTTCATTATTTCAAATTCCTTAAGAACCGCCTAGTGATGCCAAAACACAAAATTGAGGGTCACGTATCTTACAGATCACATGATCAATTTCTACACAGTAGATCTTGCAATTTAGACAATGTTGAAAGCTGTTGATATCCACTGAAAGACCAGGCTTAAAGCTGCCTCTGCCTCCACTCTGCAGTCTCCCTGCTGGACATCTAACAGCCAGGCAGGCAACTGAGTTTGCTGGTTACCCTATGTAATATTAACAGGTAACTGAGACACAGAGGAGACTGGATGAACAGCACATACAGGAGAGTGAAGATTAAGGAAGCTGGATGACAGTAAATCCTTTTCAAATTTTTAATTTAAAAAAAAAAAAAAAAAAAAGAGCTTCAGTCAGCATTTCCAGCTTCAAGTAGCTCTGAAGGTGAAGTCTCTGTACTCCTTCGATGGCATGTTGCTGTAACCATGACAATCTAAAGCCAGAGGAAGGACAAGATTTGCAGGAAGATATCTTTTTCAACCGTAGATAGTAGACAAGCTTTCAGACAAAAAAACCCCCGGAGGTCTGAAGAAGGGTTTGCATGGCCAAAAGCTTTTCCTGTCCCCTTCCCCCACCCCCCACCCCCAGCCAGAAAAACCAGTCTAAAAGAGATATTCACTCCATCTACTTTTATCTACAAATATTGCCGTGCATTTTGGTAACATTTGACAAATACTGCTTCAGAAACACACTGAACTGCACACTGGATTTTCAGGCTTGGCTTCAGGTCTCAAGCAACTGTAGGAGATCACTCATCACCCAAGTTCAGAACAGTCTCGAGTTCGTCAGAGCTGGAGAGAGTCCCTGTGCCTAGGCTGAGGAAGGCACCGCAGTGGGAATCAAGTTACTGCAGCCACAAGTGAAGAGTTACTGCATGATATCATGAGCTCTCTTCCATTAAAAAAAAAAAATCTAAACAAAAATCTTCATATGTGATTATTCCAGGACTCAGTTGAGACTGGAAGCAGGGAGGAAGGCAGCAAGAAAGCAGCTGAGGAATTCTGTCCGTATGTCTGAAAAAGTTAGCTGAATGCAAAAAACCATACACTCAAAGTAGCTATCAACTGCTTGATCCGAAGGGGTAACACCTCATCCATGCTAGACTGTTAGCTTAAAATAGGCTTCTATAATCAGTTTACAGAAGAAAACTTACTTAGTATTATGAATTGCTGAAATCTTGGAGTTTTCACAATTCAGTAACTGTTAAAACCAGAATAATTATAGTACAAACCAAAGAAACTAGTCGTCTTGACCTGGATGTTTTTCCTAACTGAAGCCTTTGCAGCAGCTTTTTACACTTTTAAGAATTCTCAATTCCTATGATTAAAAAAATGCACAGACATAATGGGTTTTTTCTTTTCCATGGTGGCTTACTGTTTTCTAATGTCGATTATGAATTTCAAAATTTGTACAAAAGTTTTCTTCTTGATGCTACTTCTTCAGCAAAGAACTTCAGCAGTAACACACAAGTTCCCTTGCCCAGTGTGACCCAAAGCTGGTACAGCCAGTATTTTTCACTTGGTGGCTGACATTTCTTCTAACTTAGAAAACAAGTAAGCTTTCTCTGTGTTTTAAGAATGCTAGCATTAGTAGATTTCAAAGCCAACAAAAAATAGTTTATTTCAACACATCTGTGTATCTTTAGATAATAAACAGAAAATGGGATGTTGATGTCATTGAACTAAACAGAATTTTATTCTGCACTCTGTTACCACCCTAGTCACTAATGGCAGAATCCAGACAACAATCAGAAAGTAAAGGTAGACACATCTTTAAAACTTTGCCTTTTCAGATCTCTGCATCTTTTCATATTACTATTTCAGAAAACTTCATAAACTTGATTTTTTTTTTTTTTTAAATCAATCCCCATTTTCCCTGAGTCAAGATGTGCATTTTTGGCTATCAAAATATAAATTACGGTAAGGATCCTAGCTTTAATTTCTGGCACAAATAGTCTTTACTTTCATGCTATCCAGTCACTACTTAACAGAAAGCAAAGAGTTACTGATACATATAATAAATAATAATTTTTACTGAACCAATCTGCTTTGAAGTTAAGCTTTCAGTTCATCTTTATGAAAGTTTGTGTTTCTTTTTCCTGATGAATGCAGTTCAAAGGCAGCTTTCCTTTGGGGTTTTTAGGCATTTCCTATATTTTCAATTTAAGAACTCCGTTTTAGATTTAGGTTCCCTGTCACTATGTGTAATATAATAGTTAAGATCTATTAACATTACAACAATTAGTTACATAACGTGCCCCCAATACATTTATGTTTTGTATCAAATTATTCTTTGAAGGAGGCCAGGTTTGAAGACCAATGAAAGGAAACCCAGCCCTCAGCACACAAATTTCAAACCATCTGAAAAAAGTGATACTGAGCAGCTTTAACTTTACTTGCCACCTGCAGGTCATAAATTAATGGAAAAGTTGAAAATAGCCATTCAATCCATCCAAAAACTCCATTTTAGATAGATAAAGAAAAAAATATCAAAAACTTAGTAAAAAAGCAAAAATTGACTTGCATCTAAAATCGTAAATGCAAAAAAATCACAAAACAAGGAAAAAAACCCCACACAAATGAAGACGAGTCAGATTGGAGTGAAAGATAGGAAGCTAGCACGGCACCAAATCTCTCTTTCGTCTATACATCATCACCATTTTTGGTAATAACTCATATCGTGTACTAATCAAAAAGAAGCACCATGATTTTTGCTGTTGCTGTCACGGGTTTTCACCAGTGGTTACTAAAAAAAAATTATGAAATGAGCAACAAGTGAACTGGATGTAATGATCAGAAAGTAACAGACTTTCCAGATCATTCAGAGCAAGATTTCATAACATTCTACAGATGTTGTAGATCAGGACAGGTTACTGGATGATATTGTGAGCCATATTGTACTTAAAAAATAAAAATAAAAAAAAAAATATTAAAACCTACAGAAGCCAGATTTTACAAACAATGCTACCTAAGTTAAGCATTCAAACTGCATTGCAAGTAAGATTTAGTGTCCTGTCATTTCTCCCCCACCAAAAAAATTCTAGCTTTAGTACTTTGACAGGTCTTGACTGCTCTTAACTGATAACACTTTCAATTGTCCTATACCTCTGTAGCAACTGTTTTTATAGAGTACTAGACTGTTTAATCATCTAATTTTCCTTCTGCTATCTTACATACTCCACTTCTTGAGTCAAGCTGGTTTTCCTCATTTCTCTGCTTGTGCTTTCCCAATTTAAGTGCTTCTTCCCCAGAACTATGGAGATGCACACTTTCCCTGCTGTACCAGCACAAGTCAGAACCTTCTCTTCTAGACAAACTGTATGGTTGTCTCGATTCTCCTTTCTTTTCAGATTTCTCCTATGGTTTGCAGATCCTACAGTTTTAATTCCTCTGCTTCTATTACAAAACAGCAAACCCTACATAACACAACTTCAGTGTGTGACTCCTATTTCTAGGATTTTTTCTTTGTATTATTTTTTAAATAATAAACCTGCTCCTCTCCCAATACCTAAAACCTCCTGGCAAAAAAAGCATAATGTATAGTTCATCATATAATACTCTCTCAATGATATCTTTATGATATTGTTCTAGACTTAAGTATTTGCAGCATGTCTTTTCCGGAATTCCAGTTCCTTGCAATCTCTGGAACTATTTCTCCCCACTAGTTCCCAACCCTCACTGCTGCAGAGAGCAAAGAGCAGGAGTAGGACCGAAGGGTAGCACTTACTTACAAAATGAAAATAGTAGATGCCACAGTTTGGAGTTTTTTAACCTATGATTTTGTGGGGCCTGACTAAACATGTTTGAATTTAGAAAAGGCAAACTTTCAGTCTAGGATTAAATACACCAGTTGCTGACTTGGAATCTTTTATGGTTTTGATTAGATAGTAAAAAATTACACTGTCGCAAAAAATGCAGATTACTGAACCCTTTGAACTCGTATTCATTCTTTCAAAAATGAGGCAATCGAGGCCTTACAGTGTCTTTACTCTAGCTTTCAATCTCTCAAAGGGATTCTCTTATTACTACTTCAATTGCATGTTAGAATCTTTTACTAGATCCTGATGGTCACTTTTGCTTCTCAGTAGTGACAAGACTGGTCACGTTTAATTTGCAGAGGTGATACTAATACAAGTTTTGCTAAAATAGGTTAAGCTTACATCCAAACAATGAAAACAGGCAACCAATTTGTATTTGAACATCATTCCGCGTGCTCTTCATTTTCACTCTAGACAAAAAAATATTTTTACTCAAATATTTAACTTCAGTTCATTTTTATGTACTGAATAAAGATTTATACAAGGTCTTTGCAAAATTTAAAATTACTTTAAACTTCAACCTGACAGAAGACAGCTACCAGTTATTCACTTTTTAAAAAGTAATTCATTTTTTTCAAATAAATATTTTAAATTTTCTTAGACAAACATTAGCAGTATCCTGTCATGCAGTAATAGCACTGCAATCCATATCACAAGGACTAAAGTCAAACAAGTCTGTTACACTTCCTTATTGAAGTTTAAAAGGGAAAGGAAGAGTCCAATGGGCATAATGTCAAAAAAAACCCCAACTGCCTTATTTCTGCTTATAAATACTTCTCTCTGCTCAACTTTTGGTACATATTTTCTGTAAACTCTTAAGTCAAAAAATAATTCTTTATGCTACAAAGGAGTTTTCTTTGAAGTTTAATAGCACTTTTCTCTCTTCATCCTAATGATTTTTTTCTCTTAGTGGACAAAAAGTATTAACATCTTAAGTTTTTCTTCAATTATAGATATGCAGACTGCGCTGTTTCATTACTCATTTTCAAAAGCCATTTGCTTCGAAAAACATGTTTTTTATTCCAGAATAGCATGTCTTTTTCAAGATTGGTATTGCATATTTATATTCTATTTTTCTTAAAAGAATCTCTTATATTTCTACATAAAAATTAAGGTCTTATTTTCCTTTTTGTTCTTTGCAACAACTAATTTGAAGAATGTGTAAGACCTTTAATTATCAAATAAATCATAGATATGTGAAATGAAGAGAAGACATCATTACCTTATCTCTGTCCTACTGCTACCTGTGATGTTTGCTTAAACTGTTAGGCTTTCAACTTCTTAATTTTTAACAGGTGAAAAATTACACTCAGTTTTAAACACCATGTGGCACATTACCACCCTTTTATTGGTCAGAGGACAATAATGGATTAACTGGTAAGAAGAGACAATGTGATCATCGCTTTGCAAGAGCAAAGGTATCTTACTACTACAGGCATCTGCTTAATATCACAGTGCCACGATTCTATGCTTAGAAAATTTCTGCTACTACAGAAATATTAAATAGTAGTGACAAATCCTGTCTTTTATCCACCTTTTCTGGGTTTTCTGTTGTTTTTAAAGCAAATGTGATGAACACTCTTGTACTCACTCTGACATTCTATGAACTGATGAATAAAAGTGCAGTCCCCTCCACTCTTTGAAAGAAAGTGCTCTAGTAAAGAAAGAAACACTTAAGTTTACATCTTCTTATTTTCAAATTGATGCAACAAAATGTTTGAAAGGTATATCAACAATATTTGTAATTGTATATTTACAGTGAATTTTTGAAATCTGAGTTAATATGCAAGCAGACAAGACGTAATTGAAACGATGTCCGAGTGATATTAGAAAACAGATTACTCTTTTGAACTGATTAGAAGTACTTTATCTGCATTTTCAAGGGGTACTTTTAAATAATAAAATCTAATAGCAGTTCTTAAGCATAATAAAAAGCCCCTTACCTCAACAGAAGCTATTTAAAAAAAACCAAACACTTTAATTAACAAAATTTAGTAATACCCAATTATTAAAAGTCCAGACATTCTGCATTTGGCATTTGCTGTATTGCTTTTTCAGATTAGGTCGTGACAAATGATTTCCACTAAATTTCCATTGGCAACATCGCATGTTTGGCAAAAAAAGATTAATACACATAAGTGGTATTTAAATCACAATAAATATAGAATACAGATGATACACTACTGAAACATGCAACTCCATAGCACTGATGCCTCTAGTTCCTCCCATTTGTTAATTCACGATCAGACATGGATAATTGCAAATACCAAATCAAAGCACTGTAGAAATAAGAAACATCTATTTAACCTATATTCTTCAGCTTTTTTTATTAGCTTTTATTTAGAATTTAATACATTTTTCTTTAGTCTTCATGTGTATTCTTCATATCTAATACAAATCTTTTCATTCAAGAGGGTAAGTGTTGCTGAATATCACCCTTTACTTTTTACACGAAGTTTCACTGCACAGAAACAACAATTTTAGAAACAACAGTTCTACAGTAGAGATCCTAAAACTGGGCTCAATTCCCAGGTTTACCCAAGTCTTTCCATATGACCTTGATCAGCTCCCAACTCCATCAGAATCTTGTATCTCTTCAAGTAAAAAGGCATTAATGCTTCCTTTCTAAAGAACCTCAAAAATCCTTTAGCCTCAAGAGTCTAGCAATCTGAAAAGGCTGCTTTTTAGTACCTAAACAGACAAAATGTGTTACATTCTAAGAAAATTGTTCAATCATTAGCTTGTGATACCAGAATCTTAGCTGTTAAGATCCAATCTGTAATACCAAGCTTTACCATATTTCAAAGTTACTCTAAAAAGTAAACTTTTTTCTAACCCACATGGACAGGGCTTCTAAAAGACAGCACCACAGCTGTAACATTTATTTTCCATATTTAAACTTTTTTTTTTTTTTTTTAGCCTTTTTACACGATCCTGAGTGACTGTATGCAAATTCCTCGTATCTTTCTTTACATAATACATGGCTCACAAAACTTAAATAGGAAAGCCAGGGGTGGTGCAACTCACTGAGAAACATACCATTTATTGAACTATCTCAGTTCTAACCCAACATTTATCAGTGGCTTGATGTATAAGCAAGTTACTCTCTTCTGCACCAGAATTTCCGTATGTGCAATGAGAGAAAATGAATGCCTAACTATCATCATCTTAATACACTTAGTTATAAAAAGCCTCTAGAGAGGCTATAACATGACTTCTTAGTTCCTCTACTCAAGAGTACAGATCTTTTAATGTTATGGACAGCCACAGAAAGAAGTAATGTAAAATCCTTATTCTTGCAACAACTAGGTAGCATGACTATAAACATACCTCGAGGACTTGACGTGAAGTTTTGAGAGACAGAGAGACAAAAGGAATCTTAAAAAACATACTGATTTTACATGGTTTTACAATTTTCCTCTGACAGGGGCGAGGAGCAGGGGGAAGGTATGTATACCTTTTTATTCAAAAAGAGGAAACTTTTTTTTTTTTTTTTAATTCCCTTACAGGCTACTTAGCAACAAAAAAAATTTTAATTTCTGACGTCTGCCTTCAGCTGTGAAGTCTTTTCCTTATGCAAAATACCTACAACCTCTTTCACTGCTGAATTTGCTGAATCTACATTATAAACTCTAAATTCTTAGCTCTTCTAAAATAATGCAGACTACTCAGCAAAAAAACAGTAACTGCCTCCTGCTGCTTTCAAGAAAACAAAATCCAAAATCTGGCAGAGAAAAATTACTGCCCATCTGTCATTCTACAAGGGCTAGATAAAGGACAGGAAGATACAGAAAAGCACAGACTGTCATGAAAAGACCACAGGCCAGCAAAGCTATAAAATGCCAGAGAAATGTGGATGGACCAGTTAGGTATAGCAGAGATACAGAAGAATGCGGTACAACAGACAGAATAATGGAAAACTACACTGAAATATGGAATAATATAATAGCATGGTAGGTGCATGACAGAAAAAGGTGATAGACTGTATAAACACACAGAAAGACAACTTGAATGAGCAGTTATATGCTGTCCATATTCATAAAGAAATTAGCCGACAGCTTCCTAAAACTCCCAGGTTTAAGTACAAGTTCTACTGTTACTCATAGCATGGAGAAATCTCTATTTTCATGTATCCATCCAGATAACATTTTGACTCTTATGCGATCCAAAATAAGTCAAAAAGGGATTGCTTCTTCAACTTTGACAAAAAAGTGAATATCGGTGATATTTGTTATAATCAAATAATGAATTCAATTTTGAAATAATATTTCAGGCAATTTTTAAACTCAGACTGATAAGACATAGCAGTATTTAAAAAACTAACATGACATTCCTACCAACAATTTAAAAAAAAAAACCAACAAAATAGTGTTTGTTAAAACAACATATCATATTTAGTGTGATGTTACCAATTATTTCTCTATAAAACAATATGTATTTGCACTTGAAGCTTCAAAGGTTTTACTAAATGTTTCAATTCAGCTCTAGGCTACTTTCGTTCACAGTACTGCATGTTTTTTTAATAACCTCCAACAACCTAACTTTCAAAATCTTTTTACGGTTTACTTTGTTAGAATGAAGAATCACAATCCCTATACAGTACCTCAATTTTGCTTTGTAAAGAAGTTTACTATTTTGTGGGGTGGAAGATTAAAAAAAAAATTAAAAGCAAATTTGTTTCTTAACCATTCTATCAAGCATTAAGAGTATTACCAACCTAAAATTATGCATCAGCAAGATGGAACAATCTATCTAAAAACAAAGTATGGCAGTCCAGAGAACTGGGAATAAGTCTCCTGCTTGCTAATCTCAGCATGCATCACAGCTAAGTGCCTAAAATGCTAAGACTTTAAGGGATAACTAGTACTTAGATTAAAGGGGAGGGTTTTGTATAGTTCCTGTGATTGTTTAACAGATCTCTCCTCTTGCTCCAAATAAGAACCAGACATGAGGTTATGCCATGATTATCTTTTTTACATTGCCATTGGTCTCCCTAGTTAAGAAGCTCTTAATTTATAAAACAAATAAAGTAAAAAGCTAAAAATTAGAGCATAGAGTGTTTTAAAATTTTGTTTCAAAAATGTATACAGTAATCCTTAAATACTGTGAATATTGGTTAAAACCAGGAGTTCTCTATACAGGTACCCCAAACTTCCAACTGATACTACCACCATTCCTCAGAGCTTTCGCTATCCAGCAAGAGACAGCAATTGCTGAAGCAAGCTCCATCAAGGAAAAATTTAAAATTAATGTAAGAGGTCAAATATATCTTAGCCAGCAGAATAATTTAGTGAATTCAGAATCATAACTGGAGTATTCTTTGATATATGTGATATTGGGCATATTCTTATCAATTTTATTCAAAAAACTTCAAGTGTATGTTAAGACATATTAGTTAAAATGCTTAGCTTAACTAATTGTCTTTAAAAAGCCTAACAGTTAGTTCAATGTTTTCTATAAATACAGTCCTGAGTTTTAAAAAGTTAGTTTCCGCTGTTTATATATTTTACATACTCACATTTTTCATACGTTATAGTTAGAAAAAAAAAATGTTTTGCTGACTTTACTTACCATACCCAATTTACTAGAAAAATGGTGTATGTCTGTGTTGCAAGGGAAAACAAAATTAAGAGGAAAAAAAGTCAATGAGTTTTCCACTTTCTTGTGTCACAAGCCTGATATCATTCAGTAGACTCCTACTGATTCCAGTGAGAGCCCATCAAAAACAAGAAAAAAAAAAAAAAAAAAAAAAAAAAAAAAAGACGATGACTTCCAAGTTGGTTTGTTACATTTTACAGAACTTTCCAAAACCACCTAGACTGAAAGTCTAAGCAAAATATGCTGGTCAGAGGAGTGGACAAATTAAATTTCATTTTTTTAAGAGAATATTATTCAAAGTAAAACTTAAGAGAACATTTTGAATTTGTTCAACTTCAAACATCAACCATAAGACAAAAGGTAGCCTTAAGATACACTACCTTTCTCTGTGCTCCCATTAATTTTAGGTATGAAGTCGTCAACTTGTATGCCTAGGATTAAGAAAGGTTATTATTTCTGGAACCAAGCAAAATGGTTTGGGTTTTGTTTCTTTATAAATACAGCATTGTGAAATGCATCTGGCTTTTCATACTACCTCCTCCTTCTAAGTATCTAATCTAATCAAACAAAACAAGCAAAATTTAATGTGTTTTCCTGCACTACAGATCATGTTCCTCTTTGTTCAAACATATAAGAGGTTACTGTCACCCAAAGAATTACTGCCTATTACACATGTATATGTATTTTTAAAATCCTTTTATATCCTATATGTGTGTGTGTATATATACGTATATAAAAAGCCTTCAAAATCTTGGAGCTGAGAGGTGCAAACAGAGCTCTAAATTGAGCAATGAACCAGAAGTCTGAACACTCACAACAGCAGTGCCCTCTACTGGCATTCTGTTGTGGCCACTTGTCTTTCAATGTTAACAAGTGATACCAAGAAGAATGCACTACTGCGATAACTGTAAAACATTATTCTTTTTGCCAGACACCTAGGCTACAAGATTATTACAATGAAAATAATTGACCAGAAAATCTGCAAACCAGCTTGAAACAAGAAACTGATCACACCTACCTAAGCTGTTGTGTTCTTTAAGAGTTTTCTCTTGAAGATGTTCTAACCGTACTGTAAACAGAAGTCCAAGAAAAAGATATTTCACAGATTAAAAGAAAAACAAATAATCAAAGTTGCTTCCCCGCTAGTAACTAACCTTGTAAAGCAGTTAGCCGCTCATTGGTGAAGTCATTATCAGCCTGCAAAGCTTCTATTTTTGCTTGAAGCTCTTGCTCTCTCTCTTCCATTTCATCTATTTTATGCTGCAATTCCTTTTTCTCAGCCAGTCCTTTCTGTTGGATTTCTTCTTGTCTTCCTTCTGCTACCTGCTCAAAAAAGATTTTAAAAATCCCCAAACAAATCAAAATTAACATGTAAAGGAACAGATTTCCTTCATTTTTATATAACTAAATGTACATAAGTAACTGTCTTTGCTAGTCAGATAAAGAAAATGGAAACAACGCAAAATTTTTCTACTGTTATTTTTCTATAAATTTCACTTCAAGCACAGTAACAGAGAGAAAGAATCTGAAAATATCTTAACTAACTTTTTATCTGAGGAACCTAAATTTTACAGGAATAGTACCAGGGCCCAAAAACTATGAAACACCCAAAGTCTCCCACCATCTCAAATCAATCAAAACACGAAAGTCCTTCTGAACTGAATGTACATTGCACAGACCAACTTGATCGAAAGCCACATCTTTTTCCTTGCTGGATTTCATGATAATAAGTTTCAAAGACTCTCCTCCCTCAAAGCTAGATAGTAAATTTAAATTTTGATCCCTCTGTGTATACTCATCATCATCAGTGATTAACTCATAATTGGGAAACCAATTGCCTTAAGACCAGCAATTTAACCTTTTAATTTGGAAAGAAAAATCTTCTGTCTGAGGTGCTGAACTAGGACTGGAAGAACCTAAGTTCAAATTCCAGTATTTATCCAAGACAAATGCAACAACTGTCTAAGGTCTACCAAGGGAACACTACTACCTTCCTCCTCCACATCATCTGCTTATCTAAATTGGAGACTCCTTGGGAATAGGCTTTATTATACTGTGATTATTTTGTTCTCCAGCATAAAGGACCTTTAAATATTAATATACTTAGATGTTTAGTTTAATAACAAACCTGATAGCACGCTTCTTCCCCTGACAGCTGAGCCATATTATTACTATGTGGTAGGCTAGTTATGTTTGTAACTGCACAAAGAAGCAACATGAAATGCAAATTTATGTCTAATTCTAGTTTCCATTCCCATTAACTGTAAGATGTTTAGGTTGAAAGTTATTTGTCTATATAAAAGCAGCTGAATATAAAGTTTTACATCATACATAATTTTATACTAAAATAAATTGCAGCTCCAAAAATATTGTAACTTGCAAAATTAGTAAGAAGGGAAATTGTTTAGCAATTTTCTTAACTGATGACAGTTTCAAGCACATTAAATGTAAACCAAAAGAATATGTAAAAGATACTATGCATCTTTCTTTCATTAACCTGTTGTTTAAAAAGTTTCTTAACCTTTATTTGATTGCTACATTAGAAATTAAATTGTATTTACTTGGTCCATGCATTGAAGTATTGTAAGTCAGATGAAATTCTGTCATTACCTTTAGCTTGTCAGAAAGATCTTTAATTTCATTTACGGCTCCATTGTACTTATTAGCTAATTCTCTTAATTCTTCCTGAGTCCGCTCATTCATTTCTTTCAGGTGAGTACATTCATCTTCTGTATTACTTAAACTCCGCTGTAAGATAGAATTATTATGCAATAAATAAAAAAAAAAATAGAGATTAATAATCTACCAAACACTGAAGTAGATCTATTTTTTCCAAAGAGTGAATTTAACTAATCATATTTAACTGCTTTGTTCCTAAGCATTAAAGCTAAACAAACAGATCAAGTCCTGGCAAAAATGCTATCTATACAAACCTTTGTAATGTTCTACTTAAAGAACAGATTATGTGAAAATATATTTGCTTCATGCATGTGTAAAAAACCCTAAACCAAAAAAACCATAGTGGGTTATATAATTAACTGTGACTGATAGGAATAAAGAACTGAAACGTGTGATCCATCTCCCCCATTCTCTTCTGTTTTATGCTAAACCGTGGAAGTTTCATAATATTTTGTAATTTAATGTAATCAATAGATTTCATCATACCTTTCACCCAGCAGAAGACGACTTAATACATTATAAAAGCCAAATGGCTCCAAAAAAGCATTCTAAATCTTTTTCTGTACTCCATAATGTGGAAAGGCATCTAAACTAAGATTGCCTTACTCAAGAGGCAGCTGGGTCTTCAGGAGGCAAGAAATGCTCCAGAAGTGTGCATCAGCTGGTGATAGCAGCACAACTAAATGGTGTATAGAGTGTCACCCTCATAGCTCAAGATTTGTTTCTTCAGTTACACGATTATATTTTTTTGGTAACAAGCTCTGACTCGGTTCTCCTTCACCACCAAAACAGATCAAAACACCTTTAAACAAAAGTACATTCAAAACTACATTATATAATAATTATTGAAGGACAACTTTCAACCATGAGCCAATGATTCTTCTGTATGGAGAAAAAACTATGTGGCAGGAAGCACTCAGGCAAATCTCTCACTAAAGTTAAATTCATATTTCTCCCCCAAGAGTAAAGAGGAACAAGTAGAATAAATAGGTCAGAAGATTCTTCTCTTAGTACAGGATTAGAAAGGAGAAGAAAGCTAGAAGTAAACATAAAACTCCAACCATTAACAAACCTGTCAGAACTATTACAATCTAAAAAAGTATATTTAACTGAAATCTCTTAAGGTTATTTATTTACAACACTATGTGCATTGCATTCACTAAAAAGCATGAAGATGTTAGACACTTTGTGCACTTAAAATTAAATCTTATGATATTTTTGACCTAAGGGAGCATAGCAAATAATGATAATGGAAAGAGAAAATAAAGGAAGACAGTAATGAGAGATATTATAGGGGCAGAAATCTTATTTGAAGAAAGTGTCCAACACTTCGTAATCTTAAAAGCTCATTCTTAAGTGTCATTTGTATGAGTGGCTAAGCTTACATTTCCATAAATTTTACAGTTTAAACAAGGTCTAACAGCATTTTTTCTAATGCATGTATGTCATTTTCTCCTCACATATTTCCCACACATGCTAAGTTCTGCAAGACAGATTCACAAATTTTGAAATCTGGCAGAAAAAGGAAGAGTTTAAAGAATAATTTCTCATTAACTTTTTAACAATCTAAGTATTGTCCAATAGGAAAAATAAACACTACTACTTAATATATATATATAAAATATATATATACACAAATATATATATACACACACAACAAATGCTGGCATATTACAGGCAACAAAACAGGGATCTATGTAGCAGCAGTTATAACTATTTCAGCATTTCCAGAACACGCATGAAACTTCAATACCTCCACTTCAGACAGTTTTCTGACCACTTCAATTTTCTCCTGAAGGACCCGCCTCAGGGACTCTTTGGCTGTTGTCTCATAGTTGTGTTTGTCTTCTTGTAATGCTATAAGCTCTTTTCGTATACTGTCTTCTGTTTGATTCTGTACATATAAGAGAATTCAGATACAAAGATAGAATACAAATTAGTATTTTGCTCATTAAATATATTAGATTGTGATAAGACCCGTTCTATTCCAAAAGGTTTAGCAATTTCTGGTAGATGGGAAAATGTTACAGACAAATCAGCGATCAAAGATTCTTGACGTGACTGGGTGTAAACCAGTTATTTTTTTGAAGTGTATGTATGGCAGCACATGTTCAGTGATCAGCTTTGATTATAGGAAAACTATGGGGGTTTTTTGGACCCTGCTAAGATAATGTTAAGCCTCAGAGACCTACAATCTGACAAACCAGAAACCTACAAGGTCCCATCTGAAAGACCTCAAACAGGACCTGCAAAAAAGTTCTTATCACGTAGGTAATTGAGAGGAAGTAAAAATAAAAATTTAAGGCAGACATAGGTGGCCTCAACAACAATCAAAGCAGGGCATACTTGTTACTCTGTCTCTGAGTATCAGACAGCACATTGATAATGTCTTTTTTCAAATCCCTATTTTGAAAGAAACATCCATAGGAAACATGACAGGATGGTTCTCACCAATGACAAATTCCATTTCACTACATACATTTTTATATGCATATACAAAAGAAATCAGTTTGGGCTGAAAAAAATGCTGAAGAACAGCTGTTTATCTAGATTTAAAGTGATTCCATGAAATACAGAACAGATCTACAGTTTTCATGCTATTCAGATTATCAAAATTGCACAGGCTTATTTTGGGAAGTTTATGTTCCAACTGCTTTCCTAACTAGCCAATTTCAAAACACTTCAAAAGAGCTATCTTTCAGCATTCCTAGCATTCAACTTTAAGTGAACTACTTACCTTTGAACATGCCTGTAATTGATTTCCCATAACCTCTAATCTTGATAGCAGCCTGTCTTCATCTATTAAAGCCTAACAGAAAAGAAGTATTACCTTAATATTAACATGTGCTTTATGTAGTTCCAGTAGAGTTCTGCTTTAAAGACTTTAATTTTGTTGGACTACTTAGCACTAAGTTATTTCAAACTGATACATAATCACTAAATTTATTAAACAGTATCTTTTACACAGTTTAAGAAAACAACCATAACTTAAGAAAACCACAATAAGCTTTTTATTCTTTCTGCTGCTTTCTTCCCTATTGTTTGTAAATTAATAGCTAAAATTTATATGCTACTGGATATTTCAGTCCATAAAGGAAAAGGATGCCTGCAGATACCTGCCAACTAGTATCTGAAGCCTCTTGCGTGACAGCAAGTAGTCGCTGAAGGGTTGCCAGCTTCTGTTCCAACATTTGTTCCCGATGTAAGGCTTCCTATGAAGAGAGCAGAGCACCAGTCAGTTCAGCTAGAACAACTCAGAAAAACACAAGCAACAGAAGACATACCAAAATACAAGAAAAAAAGGAAGTGTGAGTAGCAAAAATTGTCACATTCAAACTACAGTAAGCCCATCTCATTTTATCCATCCACGCATTTATTTGTATATTTTAATTAGAAAATGTTATGCTACAACCTCCGGTTCCTGAAAACCTTCATTTTTCATGCATACGTTGCACATGCTGAGTACACATCGTAACAAGTTATTCTTTCCAAGACTTAAAAACACTTCGACTTTTCTCAGTGATTTGAGTAAAAAAACTGTAAACACCAAAAGGCAGCTTGGCAGCTCCCATGCAATGAGCTGTTCATCCTCAAATCAGGTCACAAAAGAAAAATGCCAAGCAAGAACTACTATTTTTATTTGATCTTTGGTTTATGACAGTAAGATAGAAGAGCATCTTCGTTAACAATTCCAGGATACAGAGAGTGAACAGATTGCTGAGCGAGTATGTATTTGGCCTCCCAAGAAAGAGCATCTGCCTGAGCTGCTCCTGCTGTGTCAGCAAATATATATAAAGTTAGTATCTGTCTCAAAAGCCTCATCATTGATGTGAATAAAAACTACCATTACAAAACAAAACCAGGCAAAACAAATCAGTAGAACTATATGTAAATTAAACCTAGGTAGAATTTACCAGTAAGAATATTTTCGTATCTTTTCCAGAAAGCTGATTTTATGAATCTTTCTAAAGGGTTTGTTTATATATATATATATATTGGCACACACTTTAATGTGTTGCCATTGTGCAGTCTAACCTTTCTGTGACATGGTATCTTGGGAAAAAACCACACCTATTAAAACTGACACAGGAGCAGGTGCAGAAAGGCTGATGATGCCAATGAGAAAGAGCTGCCAGCACTATCCCCTCCTTTGTACTTTCCAACAGATACAGACACAAAAATATTCACACTAAGAAATCATATTTACAGAAACAAACTAGTTCCCAACACATGAAATGACCTCTTGTTTTGCCTTTCTTTTGTTCTACCAAAACTTTTATACCCATACACAGTACATCCACAGTAACGGATGATGACAAAAATATTGTAAGCAAACAAAATTGGGGACAGTGAGGTACAAAAGGAGAAAGGCCAGGAAAAGCAGGTATATAGCGTTCAGGGAGCCTTCTATAAAGCAGGGAGCTTTTGTGTTTCTTCTACAAAAAAACCTCAGTTTATACTGCTCATGCAAACCCCCCAAAAGTTTACATAGAACTATACTATGTCTAATTAAACACATTTTACATTATTTCACTACAGAAAAGTTAGTTAAATGCAAGCCAAACAAAATGCAGTTTTGTTTACAAAATGCAAGCCAAACAAAGACATACAGAGCATAGGATTTGTGTTTTACACAAAGATTAAATATTTAGCCAAACTAAATGCTGTCAAGAGAAAACCTACCTGTAGATACTGTGAAAGCTGAAACAATTCCTGAGAATACATACTGGGAGTGTTAGCAGCAACCTGAAAAATAAGAGAATTTAAGAATCAAAATGGTTTGCGATTTTTCATTAAACTCAAATAATACAAAATTCATAATTTAAATCCAGTCATTAAGGTAAATTTAAGATTATCTAATACTGGCATTTTTAATCATTTGTTGTTCTGCTACTATTTATTCTATGTTTTATCACAGAACTTCCAGACTCTGGACTGAGGCTCCACTGTGTTAACGTCTTTACAAGTTCTTGAACCGCCAACATGCCAAAGAGTTTAAGGCTTTTGTTGCAGTTGAGATTGAACTGACAAAAAAGAAACAAGGTGCACAAAGGTGAAACACAAGGACAAACAGAAAATTGGGAGCTTCCAGAACTCAAAGTGAAATCTTTCATATTCCAATTCAATGTCATCCTCACACACACATTTCATTTCCTGTCGATTTACCAACCATCTTCATCATCATTCCACTTGATAAGTATCTATTTCAGATTTCGGGAATACCTATATTATCTTTAATCATAACCGAAACTGTTCTGGACTTGGGAGGGAAGAAAGGGGTTGTTTGGGGGGCTGGGGGGATGTTGGCAAATTTATTTATTTACTAGCTCTTGTAGGCTCCTCCTACCCTGACAAAAAAAAAAAAAAGACAACACAGGGACAACAGACCTCATCCACACACCAAATCATGAGCTACTCTTGGGTCCCACAGAACAGATCAAGTATCAAATTACACAGTACCCAAGACCTGTTAGTCAGTCAACCTGTACCTGGAAGTTTAACCATCTTAATGCCAATGGTTTGGTGGGTTTTTTTTCCAAAGCTATGTTTCAGGTACCATACTGTAACAAGTCAAGCTACCTTAAAATATACACCACAATACTGCATTACCTTCTCTGCTTTGTCACGTGAAATGACCTCTTGTTTTACCTTTCTTTTTTTCCTAAATTTTCTAAAATTGTCTGAAATTTCTAAATATTAAACTAGGTAAAAACAGGCAGTGGAAAATATATCTAAATGTAACTGGACTTCACCACTTCTTCATCTTCATAACAAGTCAGAAAACAGCATATGGCTAAATAAGGCAGAAAACAGCAAATTACTTAATTACCTTATCAACAGGACTTGGTAATGGAGCATGGATAACACTAAAAAAAAATTTAAAAAGTAAACACAGGTGCGGAATAGCAGTTAAAAAATCCAGAAGACGCCTAGTACTGTGCATTTAATCAAGATGTTTTGTATTTTTAAGTTTATTCTTCAGATAAAAATGAAGAGTTAATATACAAAAGTGCAAAACCAGTTAACACTATGCTAAGCAATGTTTTCAAAGTTACAGAACTATTTTCAAATTATAAATCCAAGGTGTATTCTAAAAACTCTCTTTACCAACTTTTATTTCAGTAGTTACATAATATTTGACTCTTAAATTTGATTTATTAAGATTTAAACCAATTTACATGCACAAAACAATAGACATGAAAAGACAGTGCATATACTACTGTCATTTACAAATCCAACAAACTGAGTAAAATAATATTTGGTAACTTACAGAATTTTGTACATTTCACTAGAGCAAATATTATACTTGCACATTTTCATCAGAACTAAAAATTTAACACCATACATTTCTAGTATTTCTTATTAGGACATGCATCACATGGGAAAATTCCCATAATAATTTATTTTGACTTATCCTCCCAGAAGCAAAGACACCCTAAAGCTTCATGCAAATATTTCTGGATACTAATGGTAAAAGAATATTTAAATAAGCAATCAAAAACAGACAATTGCTGAGAATGAAAGATGATTAAAATTATGTCATTTGTGACTGGCACTCAGTTACTGCAAACAAAATGTTTAAATTTTTTGTTTCTACTTCCCTTTGAAATTTTCTCCAAAATCTGCACATATACACAGTATATGTGTGTATGCGTTTATACAACATTCCTCTCAATATTCATCTGAGTTTCCAAACATTATCCCATCCAACATTTTTTATGATTTTTTTCCCCCTCGTGCCAGGCAAAGCTTTCTTGCATTGTGACACCAAATAAGTGCACCACAAGGACACGTTACTGTATTACTTATCTGAAGAATATAAACAGTGTTATGTGTACACACAGAGACATCATTAACTTGACTTCAGTAGAGTCTATGTGCATTTAAAGCAGCAAAAATAATAATCCCAAATTAAAAAAAAAAAAAAGGGAAGGAGAATTTGCTCACTTCCCTTCTTTTTTCCTATATTCTTCTCTTTATAATACCCATTCCAGTACACTAAACCACAGCCAGTCAGAAAAGCCCTACTTGGTAAGAACTTTTTTATTCTTTCATAGAACTTATTTATTCTTTCATAGCTGTCTTAAATTCTGAAAGTGACAAGCAAATGAGATTTCTTTCTCATAATGCCTGCAAAAGAACCATGCTCTCTCTCAAAGTTACTTTCTTTGCACAATCACAGGAAAGTAAATGTTCCTGTGCTGATTTTAAACATAATGTCCATCAAATCCTCATTATACAGGAGTTTAATTTTGCTACACATAAACAGATACTTATTCTTACTCTGATCGCAATCGAGCTTCCATTCCATCTGGAAGAAACAGTTTGATCGTGGAGACTATACATCCATGGGTAACTGAAAAGAAACAAATACTAAAGTCATCATGATTCATTACTACTTAATTCTAAGTTCAATGGTTAACATTATAGTAACCAAGCGAACTGTTGTAAGAAACTCTGAAGCAGGCAAACGAGAAGAGGCATGAATGCCTTCAAGCACTAGTGCCTGGGTCTGCCTTTTTGGACCCCCTCTGGGGACAGGAAACTTTAGCATAACATCTTCAAGTTTCTAATATGTACTTAGTCCTGACTGTGAAGCAGCTCCAGTTCCAATTCTTCCACGTGCAGCATTACTTGCAAGTTGTCTTTACTGCAGCAAGTTAAAAACGTTAAGTGTATGTTTTGATCATAAAATGAGGGAAAAGGAATGCACCTTACCTGTGCTAGGTAATGGGAACGCATCAGTATAAACAAAACAATGAGCTGCCTTTTTGACAAGATTCCTATGAGCATATCCAGATACTTAAAAAGTAACACATCCAATTTGTGTCACGAGACACTCACTTCAACATCTGAACTTGTCAAGTGATTGTTATTTACAAACGCAAGGAACAAAATGGGAACGCAGAGGAAGAGTATAGGAACCACTGAGAAGTACGTCCTCTTGAACACTATGAGCCGCATCATTCAAGACAATACATCTCTATTTTGATATTCTGGTAGTACGTACACATCTAATGCACAGCCCTAGACAAGTGGCCTCTCATTTCAGAAGGAGAAAGCTTGCTTCTCCAGGACTAAATTCAAGATGTCTGAACTCAAGACAGATCCCAAGTAGTCAGAGGAAGAAATGCAATATTTGATTCTTACATCAAGCTCAACCTCTCTTCACAATGTTTCCTCAAAAAGTTACTATTTTCAATGACATTGCAAACAGTCAAATTATGTCTGCTTTGTCTTTTTTTTCTTGTTCTATGAATTGGGAAGTAAAAATTCTTTCCAGTTACATGGAAAGAAAGACAGATGTTGCTCCCAAACTACTACCGCAAGCTAAATACAAATAAGTATATGGTCACCTATCATCTACCACTATACCTAAAGCACCCACCAACATACAAAGACAAATAGCTGCTCTACTTTCGTGGTTATTAATATCAGCAAAACAGTTAATCTGGCTTTGGAAAAAAAAGGGCAATGGGTGTTTTAGGACACCAGTAGTGCTCCAGGGAAACGAGACAGGTCTTTGAGGAAGCTACCTCAATAGAATCTAAAAATACAGGAGAAGTGATCCAACTAAACAGAGGAGTCGTTAACCTTTTTTCAGTGCTAAAAGCTAATGCTTTGGAGAAGTATCGTCTTGGCTACAGCACCTTGTTTTTTCAAGCTGTCCTGGTAGACTATTAAATTTACATGCCAAGGAAGAACAGCCAGGACCTCATTCTCAAAACAGAGTGATCCATGGGTTCGGGGGTCTTTTTTGGCTTTAGAGTTGGGTCCCCAGAATTCACAAATCTGTTCTTGCAAAAACATAAAAAAAATACATTAGCAATATTAGCTGTAGCATATAACACACAGCTTTCATAATGAAGAATCTTTCCTTTACGGCATAAAAAGGAAATTAGTGATTTCAAGAAGAATGTGTTAGGGTATCTGAAATTAAAGACCAACACACAGCTTTACCTTTGGGTCATACATCAGGTTGGTCTGCTGTGAGATTACATAATTCTGAAGTTTTTCTATCAACACTCAGACTGAAAAAAAAATCTCCTAAAAGCTGCAGGGGCTTTATTTGTATAAAAAATTAAGGAATTAAGGGGATTTAGCAAAGGGTCGCAAATAGCAGCTGCGAGAAGGTACCGAGCATTTTGATAGGCTCATAAAATAAAAATAATTTAAAAAACAAAACCAAACCCAAACCCCAATCAAAACCACACTCCGTCCTTTAGCTATCAGTTCATTATAATTGGAAGAATAACGAGAAAGCCTAAGGGAACGGCAAAGCGACATATAAAACGTTATTCTGGCGCTGACCGGACAGAATAGTGGCAATTGTTTGAATTCAAGCCTATGTTATTCCTTTCGGGGAATTACAAAAACCCAACAATTAGCAGTAAAGCAGCCCCTGGCTGCCCAACGGGATCGAGAAAGTTCTCCCCCGAGCAGAAGACACTCCTCCCGTCCCCACGTCCCGCCCGACACGCCGCCCACTCACCTGCCGG